TTTCCTTTATGGGCAAGTGTGGCTCAGTGTTTAACAGCGCACGTAGGCTGGAGGTGGTGAGGAATTGCATTTCCTTCATCTTTGAGAACAAGACCCTGGAGACAGAGAAGGTAGTGCACATATTTGTTACATTGCAGCTAATCAACCTTTGGAGAGGGTCATTATTAGCTGAAGGCAGTTTATATAACACACTGGGCTGTTGTGCTGTATTTTGCGAGCCCGTCCTTGCACATCTGTCCATGTTTGTTTTTGTTTAATGACTCCCAGCTGGCACACCCACAGTATAGCCACTAATAATTGTTTTTTTTCTTCAAATAATCTTTTGATTTATGTACACTGCATTTGCTAGAAGGACACAATCTTTTATAACTACTTTTATGAATTATTATGCAGTCCTAAAATTTAAGATGAAACAAGTGGGACTATGCAGTAAATCGATCTTCATACGCTTAGAAATATAGAGAAATGTAGTGATTTGTTAGTGTCACTTAACTCAAAAAAATTTAAGTAATATAATGATCCAAAAAAGAAAGCGCATTAAACTGTACAATGAGCATTAATTTCAGATTTTGTTTTCAGTGTATCTTTAAGTTATTCCTAATTTGTTCTTTCCGTGTGCTTTCAAATGTGCAATATCACCAACAAGTATTTGGTTGCATATCTCATGTCTAAATGGGATTTTAAAAATTTATTTTATGCTTCCCATCTGCTTTATTTAGCACTTATATAACCCAGCCCTACATTACTGTGTTAATGTAAGAATGCATATCGCATACATCCTCTCAGCCCCCCATGAGGCTATAAATCTTATACAGCAAATGGTCAGTGCAAATAGCATTACCCAAACTAGGAGTTTACACACTCCGGCATTCCTCTATATTAACATTTTTGCTAACACATGTTGGAATGTATTATTTAACAATAGTAATAAGTTTATATGGGAGTAGTAAGGAATAGTTTAAGAATACAAACAGATTTAATATGAAGATCTAAAGTAAACTTTCTACAGCACCTATGAAATAACATATATTGTTGTCCTAGAGCAGTGCTTCTCAATTATTTTCTGTCATGCCCCCCCTAGGACGAATAAAACATCTCGCGCCCCCCCGCGTGACTATAGATAGTATCATTTGTCTATAAAATTGTTATAAGTACACCTCTGCGTAACACTGCCACCTTATATGACGCCAACAATGCTCGCTGGTTTACTGAAGTAGCAGTCACAAGCGGGATGATTGTCGGCAATATTCGGCACGTTTTCGCTGAAAAATCTCAAGCGGCCTATCAGTGATTGGGGTGTAATGTATTTAAGTGACGCCTTAATTTATTGGGCTTCATGCTGTCCGCTGCCAACATTTTTAGACACAGTAAGCACACCGGTCTTTCCTCGTCTCCCACCGTAGTCACAGTGAAGCCAAGCGCTACATATGCTTCGTCATATTTCCTCGTCTTAGCTTTCGGGAGATTTTCGTTTGTCTCTTTATCTCCATCTCTCTCCGCCTGTCTTCTCATCCCTGTTAAATATTTTTCATGGTGTCACTTGAGGGTCTGCTACACTTCGTGTCTACACTTCATACTCAAACTCTGTGCTGTGTGCAAAGTGCGCATGCTCGGTGCAAACAAAACTCCTACACCACCGAGCGAATGCTCCCTGCGCACACTCTGCCAATGAGAGCGCTCTGCCCCCTAATGTAGTGGAAGTGCAATTGCACTTTATTCTAAAGGCCCGTTCAGACCAAAGCGTCAAAGCGTCCACTTTCTATGTAAAGTCTATGTGGACGCGCGACTAGAGCGTCCTGCGTTTTTGCGGCGCGTTTTTCGGCGTCAGCGCGGCGCGAATCTGGCGTCAGCGCGGCGCGTCTTCAGCGTTTTGGCGTCAGCGGCCAAGACGCGCGTCCAAGGCGTCAGCGTCAAGAAGTTGAAAATGCTGAACTTTTCGCGTCAGACGCGCCGCGTCAACCAATCAGGGACGAGTATCCAGAGACGCAGCGACGTAATTATCAGGAAGAAAGACCCGAGAACCAGAACGAGAACCACAAACATGAGCGGAGAATAAATATATACGCCACAATCACAGAGCCGATCGCGAGGAATACACCAGGACCGGACCAGGACCAAACCAGGACTAGACCGAGACTAGACCGAGACTAGACCGAGACTAGACCGAGACTAAACAAGGACTAGACCGGGACTAGACCGTGATTAGACCGGGACTAGACCGGGACCAGACCAGGACTAGACCGGGACTAGACCGTGATTAGACCAGGACCAGACCGGTATTAGACCAGGACTAGACCGGGACTGATCCAGTGTCATTAGCGGAGTATAAATATATATCCGCCCCAGTCGTCGACCCGATCTCCTCCGTTGATGTTTTATGTCATAAAAACACTCTCTCAGTCTGGTCTGACATTGTTTCGGGAAAAGACCGGGACCGGGCTCTTGTTTCCAGGGCAACGGACGCGCGTCAAGTATTTTTGTCCCGTTCGTCCACGGCGTCAAAGACGCGCGTCGGGGGCGTCTAAACTCAAATGCAAAAGCTCCAAATAGAGGCGTCAAGGCGTTTTTTGACGCTTTGGTGTGAACGGCCCTTAAGACAGTAAAAAAAATCTAAATAAAAAAATAAAAAAGCATGTTCCCCGAGGTCAAACGCGCCCCCCTTGACGGAGCCTCGTGCCCCACTATTTGAGAAGCACTGTCCTAGAGTAATAATAAGTATTTTATTAATTACTTGTTTTCCCCTCTACAGACCCTACCTGCTGCGTTGAGGGCCCTCAAAGGAAAAATGGCTCGACAGTGTCTGACTGAAGAGTTGAGTCTTCACGTCCAGCAGAATCGTGCAATCCTCGACCATCAACAATTTGATTACATCATTCGAATGATGAACTGTGCACTTCAGGTGAGCCTATGCATGCTACTGTAGAAATACAAATTAAAGCATGCATCATGCATCATTTTGATGCATGCATCATTTATTTGTTCATTATAGTTTTACTTTGATAAAATATATAAAAGATTTTTTGTTGGCCTAATTCTGGGCCTGCTTGTCAAACTGTGGTAGTATGTGTTTTTGCACAGCCCATAAAGGGTCGCAGAGATTGTACTGAACCAGCGCAAACCAGTCTTTATTGGTGGTTCCTTGGGTTTTACTACATGGCATCAGCCTGTTCCAGGGCATTTTAATACTTTTACAAAGTCCTCACAAAGTGCAGCTTTTATAGAGTGACTCTGGATTCCAGTCATTCTTTTTCTCCGCCTTCAAATTGATAGAAGCCAATTAATCCCACCATCTGCCGAGAGGACAAGAGAGGCCATTTGATGTATCATTTGTTCCTCAGTTATGAAACAAGACAAATCAAGGCCAAACACAGTGTGAATAAGATTGTTTGGAGCACAAACAAAATCTAGATACATAGTTCCCTGTTTGTTTGTTTTTTGGCAATTTAAGACTATAGATATTGGTTAAGAAGTGTTAAAATACTCAACAATTGTACACTTCATAAATAAATGAAACACTGAGACTTCCTATAGCCTGCATTTGATTAATTAAAAATGACACGTACATGTACCAAACTTGTGAATGATTTAAATGTTTGTTTTAATCTGTTAAAATAAAATCAGAAATTGTTGAGCTCTAAAATGTTCTAGGCTCTAAATAATTCAATCTTGTGTTATCGTTCACTTTTTAAATAAATTCCAAATGTTTATTCATGGGTTTAACTAATTTGTTGTAAATGAGCTGTAAAGGTACATTAATAGTAAATAGCTTGACAATAATTACTTTCACATTGTGTCCTCGCCCCCTTTCTTTCAACACAGACCTAGATAAGAACCCCTTAAAATTATATCAGGGAGTGTATGTGCCAACAGCTGTGTGCGGTTGGCTTCATGTGAGACATCTCAGAGTGACCTTTTCCTCAAAAAATGTTTTCTTCAGATTCAGAAGAGTGACAACACGATGCCTCATTAGTCTTGCTGGCAAACATGACACGTTCCATTACAATAACCATATCATTATCTAGCTTGATACAACGTTTATAGTTTAACGGTTTGCTTGGGGCTAAGTGACAGCTCAGTATCATGAACCAGACCAGCCAGTGATTTAGCATGCAGCGAGATGTCTGCAGTCTGTTCAGAAATGAACAATAGGCCAGAGGTTAACAGGGGGTGACTCTGAACCTTGTCTGTGCTTGTTAATATATTATTGTTCCCTTTCTTTAATTTTTGTTGCATGCAAGACCTAAAAATATGTTTTGTGCAACTGTTTTGGTATGCCTGCATTACAATGACGTGTTCTTCCTCTACTATTGAAATTCTTATCAGTCTGACAGCCATAAATTAGGCAAAAAAGATTACCTCCTCATTAAGTTCTAATCTAATTGCTGATTAGCGTTAGTGTTTGTGCGCATGCTTCTTCTCACTCCTTTTTTTGGAGAGGAAGTCAACTTGCGCAAGCCATGTGGGGGAATGCGTCCTGCTGTGCTGATGTATCCTGGCATCTCAACCATTTCCTGTGCGATAGGATTATGAGTCCTCTGTGCTCTGCTCTCATGATCCCAGGCCTCATGGTGCTCTGAGTGGCCATTTACCCTAAGAGGGGCTTATAGGGGTGTATAGGATTCATGGAAAGCTACTGCAGATGCATTGAGTTTTGCATGCTAGTAGTAGTATCATATTATAGTAGCAATAGTAGCACACTCTGTTCCTCAAGATTAAACGTTGAAAGATAAATCAGTGTCACTACTAAAAATGACTAGAATGTAAGATGTTAGTTGTATGTTGGTATTAGTATAGTTTTATTAGTATTAGTATGTGTTTCATAGGACCATAAGATTATTTCTATACATTACATTTCTTCTTGATATAGAACTGTGTCCTTGTAAACTATACTTAGATTGCCTGGCATACCAGAGGGATATCAGTAGCCTTGTTCACATGCACACCAAAATATGATTATGATTGATCACTCCCATCAGAATTTGCAGTTTATATGCAATTTAAGTCATCTTTAACGTCCCCAAATTAATCAAAGGACCATGATCAGAAAAGAATTGGATAGTTTGGCTTTTTACATTTCATTTATATGGTCTTATATTAATTATTCATGTGAAAAGAAGAAGCTGATTGGTCAAACATCATTTTGAACTAAACACTTATATACACATATCTCATCTTGGAGAAACAGAGTTTATCGCTTCGCTCACTGTTTCTTCATAGATCTGATTTTTTTCCATTCTCTTTTCCTTGTAAGAATTTTGGCTGATTCAGCCGGTGACCAGTTTGTAAAGTACTATGGAAGTGTGTACTCTGAATTCAAGGGAAACATACACATTTTCAGGGCTACACAATGAGTAACTATTAAGTGTCTAATTAATGAACCACCGCTGTCTACAAACTTGGATCCCTTCCTTACTCTTTTCATTTTCTGGCTCTTCACAATACATAAAGGATTATTTCATTAGTTCAGTATATAATTAAAGTCATAAATTGGTATCTTGCAGAGAGAACATTGCCTTTTCTTTTAACATTGGTATTGAATGATAGGTCCGACTCCTGCTAGTCTCTATGGAGATGGTATGGTATGTTATTGTCTGAAATTACTTAACTTCTGGTGGTGTACTTGTTTCCATGTAGATATAGATATGTAGTTTAATGCCATACTGTGAAACATTCAAGGCATAAAATCTCCATGGAGACAAAAAGATGGTGGTTCCTTCACCAGAAAAGTTGCGCAGTGGACCTTTCCGTAAACTTCAATGAATATACTTCTGTAATTATATAGTGACAAAGGTCAAAAATAGCTATGAATGCTGTTACAAGGAAAGCTGAACATGTTGACATTTTAGGAAGCAGCGCATTGTTTATATTATTTCAATTCAACTTCTCTCAGTTTCACTACGTGTTAAAAAGTCAGAGAGCTGCATTAGTCACTATATTCATCATGGTTCCTGGAGGTCCGCAAATAATAGCCAGACAAAGTGTAAATAATGGAAGGAAAAGCAGGCAGCAGGACGCCCTCACAAACTCAGCATTCACATGACCACTACATGTGTATGTTTGTTTGTGCTTTACTTTGATGGCTGCTTTCCAGACACAACACCATGTTGTATTTTATGATACTGCAATGTCTAATGTGAGACTCAATCTCTATGGGTACAGTTGGTAGTACACAAGCTACTTCTGTGACCTAATGCTGAATACTTTTAAGTCCCGCTACATGGTTCATAGTCAGAATAGTCCTGATTTGTATAATTTGCAAAGGAAAAATATTCATGTAAATATGTAATTAATTTCCATCCCATTAGGCTTACAATGTTATTATTTTCTGTGAAAGGAGAAGAGAAAGACCAAAACAAAATAAAAGGAAGCTGCTCACATTTAAAGTATTGTTTCCTGGCATAAGCACATTCTGCAATTTCACATAGCCTGCAGCCACCTGTGGTCCCTCAAAAGTGAAATTGCATACTGCATTAATGTATTACATTACAGGTATATAATGGAATAAAGTGTGTTTAATGCTTTTATTACATTGTAGTGGCAAACAATCGTGTACTATATTACACAGCAATTGCAAATACATCAAGTAGGGGTGATCATATTGTATTGTATTTTAAATGCTTGTGAAATATTGTTGCATGGGATTTGGATGATTAGCAGCAAGAGACCCCAAAATGCGTCTTGCACAAAGCCCCACAAATCTAGAAGTGGCCCTGCGTATTTGTTTAATTTTCCAATGAATGATATACAACTTTTAATTAATTTATTTCAATATAATCATTAGACCATGGCTCAACTTTTGCTTTTGACCTTTATTTTTGCAACCCTGTGACATGCCACATTTTTAAGGATGCTTGTAAACAATGAATTGGTGTTGCTCCAAGCTGGAATTTTTTACCCCAGTGCAAATGAGTGCTAGGAAAAACACTGCACATACCACGTGGCTCGGTCCATGGGGGTCCAGGCGGGAGGAGGTAAGCTTTTATCTGAAGCTGTAGCCAAACTTGTGTTTTGCATTTTCCTTCTGTACTTTGTTTTTCTTTACTTGTTTAATACATTGGAAATGCTTTCTTTGACAGTAAATAATTCAGACCTCTCATTATAGCCCACAACCACAAGCCAAACATTTATCACTACATCCTCTTTCCTTCTTGTAGAAATTAAAACAAAGAAGTAAGAACTGCTTGTGTCCTGTGAGTTTTAGTATCAGGTCAATTGCAATCTTTAGGTTTTTCATGGTTTTAAACTAAATTTCCTCTGGTGACTCTCATTTACAAAGTTCAGCAAACAGATCCTACTAAAGCCTTGCACCCATAAGTACCAATTTCCTGTGGATAAGGCCAAATGGTGTGCTATTATTCTCACCATTCTCTGAAACCTCTTTTGTGAGGTTTTGTTAGGGCCCCTAAAACTTTTCTTTAAATCTTTTAATGCACCCATTTTTTTCTAGAAAGCACAGCATCTTTGACCCGAAACGGTCCCAGTCGTTTGTTGTTACTTGAAGATATCAAAACAAATTATTTTCAAATAGAATTGGTTTTATAAGAAGAATTATTGTCATTTCTTTCTATTGAATCATTGTGGCTGCTGTGATAAACAATAAACTCTTTGTCTAGCCAGAAAGTCGGATAGTGTGGTCATTTAATTCAATAATGCTAAACAGAAGATTAGTAATAAATTGGTGACAGAAGTTCTTCAACAATTGTGTCAAGGCAAAAATTATATAACTGGATTGGAAGCACATGTCACCACCACCAAGTGGACTGAGTGGTTTGGCAGACCTTTGTAACCATTACTTTGACATTTACCAGGACTGTGTGACTTTATGTAACTAATATTGTGCTGGAGATAAGCCTACAGTAACGGTCCATATTACACTATTTTCTGATCTGTGTTATAAATGTTGTCTCCTCGTCACAAACATAGTTGTTTTGTTTAATTCACGCATGTTTAACATACAAATCTTGCTTATTTACGCGGAGGCCACCTTGTGATGTCATGTAATAATACAGAAAGTGCTGCACTGTCTTACTGGGGCGCCAGTCACAAAAACAGTTGTTGTGTCCTTAGGTATGACACTTCACCCACATTGCCTAGTGTGAAAGTTGTGTGTGCGTGAGTGATGGTGTGAGTGATGGTGGTGGTCAGAGGGGCCGATGGCGCTGATTGGCAACCTTGCTTCTGTCAGTCTGCCCCAAGGCAGCTGTGGCTACAGTAGTAGCTTACCATCACTGAGTGAATGAATAATGAACGTCAAAGCGCTTCGGGTATCTTGAAAGGCGCTAAACTACCACTTCATGAAGTGGTAGTTTTTCAAGTGCACAAGGTGCGTTTTGAGCTTTGGAGATGTAGATGGTCTAACACTTAAGGATACCTCAAACATCTGTGACTGAAATACAACACAACTCCAGGTATATTTTTGATGAGGTAACAGGATTATAACATGGTTTAAGGCTCACAAAAGTAAATTTTGTGTAGTATAGGACCTTCAAAATGCTTGCCTTAAACGTACAATATATTATTGTAGATTTGTTCTTGCATTAAAACTTGACTGTTCTTACAGACGAGGAGACTTCAAATTATAATTTTTTTGTTTTGTCCACAGGACTGCTCCACATCAGAAGAGTACACAGTGGCTGCCGCCCTACTACCCCTGTCAACTGCATTTTATAGGGTAAGTCTTCAGACAGTCCATTGCTAACCACATCTCATGTTTTCTCAACTAGCTCATTGATAGATTGTGTTGAAATCATATTCAATAATACATGGCATCACTTCCCATTCTTGGATATTTTGTGGCTTGAAAAGTTAAACAAGACAGAGTTAATTTGTTATAATTATGACTGTGGTGAAGATGAGACAGAAACACAAGTCATGAATGAGTTATGATTCAATGAATTATGAAGAGTCTCAGCAGGTGCCATAATAAATGTGTTTGGGTAATCAACCATGTCTTTGCACAGTCAACAGGAGAATGTGGTTGTTATTTCAAATAAACAAAGCTCTAAATAGAACTCAGATGTCATGTTTTAAAGAACAGTATGTACAAGGACAGTATGTACAATAACTGAGTGCAGATACCACTTTTTTTTTTTTTTTTTAAACAAACGCTGACTTTGTCCAACTGTGGCATATTCACCTTTCATTCTTTACTACCTCACATCATTACTATAATATAAATCTTATGTAACTACTGCTCAAACAGTGCAAGTGTAACCATTACATTGCAACTAGAGAACTATAGCTATTACAGGCATTCATGCAGCTTTGACAAATGATCAACCAGCCTTGAAGTTGAGCAGATCAGTGTGAGTATGTATGTATAAGTCTACTCAAGTTTCACCTGAAAACACGTTTCTTCTTCTTGCCAGCACAGCCTTGGGGAGGTGTGCACCTCTGTGTTACTGTGGTTGGTTAAATAAAGTGTGTCTTTTTTATTTATTGGCAGAATGAGCATAATATGAATATTGCATTAATGTTAACTGCAGTTCTACTAAGAATAATAGGACATTGTGAACAGTGTATGTATATTTATTCATTTTGAATTGGTCGATCCGAAGAAGTGTTGAATGTATCATTTAGGATTGGACTCTGCATATTAATACTGTTTTCATAGCAACAAAAAATACTTGATCCCATATGGGTCAGAGAACATGGGAACGTCTATGCTCTGCATTTGTCTGCTCCCATCTCGGTTCTCCATCTTTTGAAGTGACAACATTAGTTTTATAGCTTGTCATAAGAGGAATCTTAATGGCTATGACCCCAAGTACATTAGAGTGTATATGAAGTCATTGCTCTCTCCACTCTAAAAATATATGAAAATATAGTTTTGACCACACAACTTAAATTGATAGAAACTGGAACTGATTTGCAATGTAAACGATTTTCCAAAGCTCAATTACCCCTTGTACAGTGGCCCTGTTGGATGTGGACTGTCTAATTTGGACAGAGGCTCTGGTATTTATAAGGAATGAATGTATCAGGAAATGAACAGGTGTTGCTGACATTTGGGTCATTGTTATTCTGTTCTTTGCATTCTTACATATGTCGTTTTCATTTTAATGTGTCCCCCAGGTTAAGTGTCTCTGTAGTAATCCAAACATAATTGAGACTGACTTTCAAAACACAAAGCTCTGTTGTTTGCATTCTTTGAGCCAGAGTTTATATATTGGTTTGGACTGGGGGGGTTAGCCATGTCAAATTGGCATGCTTTATTGCGGATATGACGTATTGGATGACCCATAGAGATGTCCAGCTCTTGACTTGTATCTAGCCATGTTTACTCAATTTGGGAACATTTATGTTTCTTGTACATAGTGTTTTTCTCCATAGTGCTTGCCTATGGATCGTGCGAGGGGGGTATGTTTATTGGATCTAGCTAACATTTTCCCTATAGTTTGTTTTGCTTGACTTAAAGGGTAAATATAATGTTTGAATTAAAGGGTTTTCGGGTTTCCAAGCGCTGGTACTTTTCCGCACATTACGCTGGCTCACTGACGAAAGTGATGAGATAGATTACATACAGGTCAGGCTTGCATTCCCACAGAGGACCAAAAATAATGAGTGTTTTGGTATCCACAACTTAGGAATGCCATGAATGCTTCTAAACAATTGTAAATAATGTTGCTGCCTCCAGGCTTGTGACATATCAAGCATTAGTCTGTGCACTGGCTGTTTAAAGAGTAACTAAATGAGATTGGCAGTATTTGGCGTTAACCTTATCCATCCTAGAGCTTTGAAGAATAGGGTGAGATGTCTCAGAAATGCGAAAATGCTTTATCTTAACTTAAGAACACAATCCAAAAGTTCAAAACAATATTTAAAAGAAGTCTCCAGACTAATCCATAATCTTTTCTGACACTTTGTGTTTTTTTTGTTTGCTTGTTTTTTCAAATATTTTGTCCCTTTTCTTCTTTGTTTTTTTGCTTTCTTTTTTTTTTTTTTGCTCTTAACCAATCACTAAATAGGTCTCAAAGCACCCTCTCATTTTTAATTGATCAGATATACGGTTTCAAACATGTTAAAATATTTTTACACCATTACATTCCACCAATAGTTTTGTTCTTACATCTGTCTCCTCCTCTCCATCTGTACATCTGACCAGGTTTTTGTGTGCTCTCTGAATTATCATACATATAAGGAAGAGATGACCTGGGTCAGTGTGACCTGCACATATCTGAAGTGTCAACAAAAACATCCAGACGGAGTATAGACAGGAGATGGATAGCCCCTGCTCCTACACACGCGCGCAACATCTGTATGAAAACATGCAACCCAGTCACATGGTGGAAAGTTAGCTCACCTCTCCTTGTCAGAATGGATTACTTTTATTTATTGGCAATTTGACTGATTAGAGTTTTGTCTTGTTATGGCTGAACAATTTCAGATTTTTTTCTGACGACCATTGCAACTGTGATTAGATTTGCAAGTTATGTTTTAATAATAGGATTCTGTTCAAAGATCACAGTTTCAACGCATCTAGAAGAATTGACAAAATACTGACATATGAAATGTCACCCAATTAATCAATCACTGAAGACCCTCTGGACTCCGAAATAAAACTTATACAAAAATCACATGGTTGTAAAGATCTAAACTAGAGGGTTTGCAGTTTTTATGCAAAATAAGACATGATTTTTTGGTTGTTTGTGGAGTAAAGTATGGTACTTAAAAAAAACTGCAGCCTTTGTGGTTTGATAATTACATCGACTCAAATTGCGATTTTGGCTTGTTTACGATTAATCTTGCAGCCCTACATTTTGTCTTGGAGTTTACTTTTCTGGGTCACTAGAGATGGCCTCATACTACACTATACCTTACTGACAGTGTTGTGCATGAACGCGTTCAAAAGAACACGTTCATTTTTCAGTGAATTTTGAGCTGAACGCAACGCTTTTGTAAATCAAGAACTTGAATTTGTTCAAATTATGTGTGATGAACGACGTACGTCACTGTTGGGGTTCAATTAATCGTCGGAATTAGTTTCCACCTGAGGAGTGACGATCTGCTCGCACTTAACCTTGCGAAACCACAGCCGCGTGTCAACGCGAAGGCGACTCCACCGGCAGCTGCCCAGGGAGCACGATGTGCTGATGGTAAATACTCAAATACAACAATAGATCCATGCTCTCTGTGTATTTTGACGGGGATACGCGCCTACGCTCGCGTAGAGCGTCCAAAAATAGGATGGAACCTATTTTCTGAAATCTACACTCACAGGACGTGCTGCTCCACACGCGCGTGGCTCTATAGTGGTTATGGTTAGTATCTTGTCAGTGCTGGGAGTAACGCGTTATAAAAGTAATGAATTACTGTAATGCGTTGCTATTTGCTGTAACGCAGTAATGTTCGGCATTATAGGGGAAAAAGTGGTAATATTTTACTCGGTACAAATGTCAGTAACGCGCGTCACAATGCTTTTTTAACCTGGATTGAAGTGGTGGGTTTTTCGTTTTTCTTCATACAAATTTGCTAAAATCACCGCGATATCAGCAGCGGTGAAACGCCGGAGACGCGCCCGCGTAGACCGTGATCCTGAGCGAAAGGACCGACGCAGAAGTCCGAGCTCCACGGAGCTAAACGCAGCTGACGCCCGATGGCGCTCGGGGTTCTCTCAGGGGCGGTCCTAGATTCCAAGTTCTAGTCCAGGATTAGTCCTGGTTTAGTCCTGATTCAGTTCTGGTTTAGACCTGGTTCAGTCCTGGTTTAGACCTGGTTTAGTCCTAGTTTAGACCTGGTTCAGTCCTGGTTTAGTCCTGGTTTAGTCCTGGTTTAGTCCTGGTTTAGTCCTGGTTTAGTCCATATACGGCGCAAAGGTTCAGCATCTTCACAGTTATTTTGGTGAGAGTAACTCAAAAGTGCTGTAATAGTCGTGTAATGTTTTACATTTTAAATACAATAATATTGTAATGTAACAAATTATTTTTGAAATGTCAGTAACAAGTCATAAATAACACATAAAAGTCACTTGCCCAACAGTGTATCTTGTAAAGTTGTTGTAATCTAGAAGTCAGTTTGAAAAATAAATACAGCCTTTCATTTACATATCTCACCTAAAAATAAAATGAACTGAACTTTGAACTAGTTCAAATTAAAATTGTGAACTATGAACGTGAGCTGTTCACTTTGAACAAATGTGAACTGAACTTTGAACTAGTTCATGAAAAGTGTGAACTTGCACAACACTGCTTACTGATTTGTCATTTAGCGTAGGTTCATGTCTTGTTGCTTTCATTGACCATATATTTTTCATATCACATATCTGGTTGTGGGTGTGAAGGAATGCTTTTAATTGTAAAGCATTTTGGGTTACATGTTTTGTATGAAAAGTGACATAAAATCAAACTTTATTCATAAAGCACTTAGTGTGATCAACCCTGCCCAAATTTTCATACTGATCCAATTATTTTTAGTCAACGTTTTTTGGTTTATTCAGTGAAGAATTATTCTGGTGTCTGTTTAGTTTTTTCATATACACAGGTTAGGATTTGAAAAAAGTGATTTGCACATAGGAAGTAATCTTGACAAGAATTGCTGAGACTGAGTTTGTTTTGTGGTTTTGAACTGAAAAAAACTTTTACCAATGCTTTGGAATGTTTAACTTTTTCTGAGAAACCCGTCCAGTTCTGCTGATCTAGGCATGCCTTTTGCCTTGTTTCAGTGTTTATGGGAAACAGAAGCTTATCAAGAGGATTTTTTTTTAGACCTATTTAGTATTCATCATTGCAGACATAAAGTGTGTTAGATAAAATACTACACCAAGTAAACCTCTTATATAATATCTGTAAAAGTCTTATATAGCACTTTTCCAGACACTCAAAGTCACTTTACAATTTTGTGTATTATTCATTCACTCCATATTCAGTGGTGGTAAGCTGCTACTGTAGCCACAGCAGCCCTGGGATAGACTGACTGAAGTGAGGCTGCTAGTCTGCGTCATCGGCCCCTCCAACCTCACGCACACATCACATTCATACCATTAATGCCACTGGTGCCCTACTGGTATTCCCAGTAGTCGCCCATCCAAGTACTAACCAGGCTATACCCTGCTCAGCTTCTGAGATATGCTGAGATCAGGAGGCTTGGCCACACAATGTTTAACGTCCATACATGTCACTATCAAAAAAATACATCAATAAATATTTTATAATCTACTATATTTATTTTATAATATAATATAGACTTGATGTTCTAACTATACTATACTGTAGACATTAAACTCAATAAAAACTTTTGACTCATGGCTTTCAGACTTTGCTGGGAGAGGGACCTCTGTTTGTTGTGATTATTTATTGCCACACTCGACTTCTTACACCAAAAGAACGATGGGGTAACTTTCCATGCATAGCTGTGTGATTTTCTGTATACAGTATGGATCAATTTTAATGCTTTTGGCTTAGAGAACTGTGTGTTCCCTTTAGGAGCTGTTTTTCAGGCAGCAGGTGCTTAACTCTTTAACACAAAGAAATCAAAACAACGGCCACTGCTTTATATGTTCAGAAGACGTGGGGTGGTCTGTCACCCCATTAAGTGGAAACACAAAAAGAGAATGATGAATACCTCTGGAAGTTACAGATCCCACTTGTTTTTGTTTCCTTTTCTGGTATTTAGGCCATTTTGTTTCAGCTCACAAATCATGTAGCCTAACCCCTGAATCGTACAAAAATAAATAATGGTCTTTAATGTCCTATTATCATTTGGGTGGTCTATTTGAAAAGTATGACAGATATTGGGTAATGCGTTACATAATAGTGTGTAATGTGTTTTGTGTTTTATAGAAACTGGCTCCTGGGGTGAATCAGTTTGCCTACACTTGCATTCAGGACCATCCTATTTGGACCAACCAGCAGTTCTGGGAAGCCACTTTTTACAGTGAAGTTCAGAGCCAAATCCGAGCTTTGTATCTAAATACTTTGGAGAAGGGTAGCGTCATTGCAAAGCTTAAGGTAAGAAGGAAATAAACAAAATAATCATCATAATCTTACTGAGCGCATTTGCAAATATTTCCATTCACCCTCTCTTGGCTCACCTGTGTCTGCAGGAGGCTGTACCCACTTCTACTGTGGTAAAAGATGAAGATGATCAGACTGCCATGGATTTAGCGGCGGAGCAGCTCAGGTGTTGGCCCAACCTAAGTAAAGAGAAGCAGCACGAACTGGTGAAAAATGAAGAAAGCACTGTGTTCAGTCAGGCCATCCACTACGCCAGCCTCATGGTGTATCTGCTGGTCCCTCTGGACACCAGCAAGAACAAACTACTGCGCAACCCCCCAGCAGCAGACTGGGAGAGCGGGAGCAACAGCATCATTACAAACAGGTCATTTTTAACAACATTGTCTGCTCTCATGGGAATATTCAATGTAATGCAATCTGCAATAGAAACTTTTGTTTGACTAGTCAACTACTAAAATAATTCTTAGTTGGAGCCCTGTTGTACATTTGAAAAAAAGGTTTATTGCCATTCAAAAACTAGCTATGTTTTTGGATCATTTTTAAGTATCTCATTGTTGTACAAATTTAAAGACAAAAAGTATTAGAATAACCTTAAAGTATGTAAAACAGATTATAAGCAATTAAAACATGTTATAAAAATAACAGACTTGACAGAATAGAAAAACAATATTTAATAAGGTTATAGTTTCATGAACCATAGCAGTTTGCTGTTGGCACAAATGGATGGAAATATATGGAAGCCCTGAGCGACAAGTGAAAAAAAAAATAGGCATATCATTTGGGCTTTATTTTCTAAGATTTTTTTTTTCTAAAAAAAAATTGTAAGCCTTATTTTTTATTTATTTTCTTTTTTTATTGTTGACGTGACTGAAAAACTGATCACTGATCACATCACTGATTACAATACAGGCATAAGATGCAGTTTTTCACTTGTACTAGTGCTGTTAGTTACTGATAGTACTTTGTTGATGTTGCTCTGTTTAGCTTATGTGGCAAAGTAAAGCCAAAAATCTTACAAAATAAAGCCCAAATGTCACTCTCTCTTTTTTTTTTTTTTTTTTTTTTTTTTTTTTGCTTGCTCAAGGCTTCCATAGAAATATGTAGTAAAAAATAAAGTTGAGGTAGATCAATTGTGTCACCTGTTAAAGCCTTGTGCTACAATTTCATTATTTTGGGATTATTTGTTCCTCTAAAAAAATAGGGTGATGATAAGTATGTGGGAGGACATGGCGCACGCTGTCTGCATGATCTTTCCCTTTCGGCCAAATGAAATATTCTCCCTGTCCAGTAAAAGTCCATCTGGTGGACTTAAATTGCAGCCATAAAAGAGAAGGGTGTTCAATGAGACATGTGTCCTTAACCAAACTGTTGAAAGCCAGACATCCTTTCTTATCTCAGAAAAACGGATTGTGTTGCTTGCAACTGCATGAAATATTACAGATTCTAAGAGAATGCTATTGAGAAATATCAGAAATGTCGATCCTTTTGCATGCTCTTTTATATTCTATTTTTGCCTCTGATTTGTTTATCTAAAAGCACATTTGGATCGCATCACTTTCTATTTGTGGATCTAGCAGGAGCATTGCATCATTATCACTGCTTCATGTAAAACATTGTTATTGGCTAAGAAACTCCATGATTGATACAGGCCTCGGAGCCTTTCTCTATTGGACTGCAAATCACTGCGTTTTACTGCTCTTTACTCTCAGACCATCCTAAAGTTCTTTAAAGTCAACACACAATTCCCAAAGCGCCGGTCTGTCTTCCCTTAACTCTGGTTTAGCCTTGTCATATTTTTCATTCTTCGTTTATGCCTCTGTTTACAGCATTGCTGGCAGTGTGGCCGAGAGTTTTGATACTGAAAGTGGTTTTGAAGACTCGGAGAACAGCGACGTGGCTAACTCTGTCGTCAGGTTCATAGCTCGTTTTATCGATAAGGTGTGCACTGAGAGTGGGGTGACACAGGACCACATAAAGAGCCTGCACAGTATGATCCCAGGTAAAACCATGGCTACTGTAGAATTTGTTTATGCAAAATCAACAAAGTACATTCAACAGTAACTGCCATGATACATACACATTCTTCAAGTGGACAGCCCAATGAACACTGTTGTACTTGGACTGTGTATACATGTGGTAATTGACCTCTACTTCTGACCCATAGGCATTGTAGCTATGCAGATGGAGGCTCTTGAAGCAGTTCATAGGGAGAGCAGAAGACTGCCACCCATACAGAAGGTAAGTGTTCTTTACACGCTATGTGAACTTAGATATTTGCCGGCAAAAGTACAAATGCAAGCATTTGCAAGAAAAAAAAAGTGAAATTTATAAAAAATTTGTCTTTAATGAAGTCTGTCAAAATAGCTGTAATTTCTATGAGTGCTTTCAACAGTAAATCACGTTTGATAAAGAGCACTTGGTAACATTTTGTACACCCCCTCTCCTTATAAACTGATCCTATTACGTCAAACATTTTTCATATATGAATAATTGGCTACTGACATTTGCCTTCTCAAGTTCTTGCAGGACTTTCCATCATTATTGCACTTGTATTTTGCCAGTTGGCTTTTGGAATACCATGTTACTTTTCTGCCAGTTTTAGGTCATTCCCCTCGCGCACACTCATGCATACAAACAACATGCCAGCATTGTCATGGGAGCGACTTGGAGGACTCGGTGAGCAGTCTGGGCTGATGTCTGGTTCATTTTTTTTGCTAACGTTTCATATTAATGTGTTGGACAGCACTTTACCTGGACTGCTCACTGCAAATAGCATGCCAAATACTAAAAGTCTGTGAATGCCACTATACAGTATGTGGTTGGAATAACAGTAGCAGGTTCTGCGTTATGGAAGTAGCATGGTTAAATGAGGTTAAAGAGATGTCCCCAGCTTGCTTTGATTTTATTGATGCTGTCAGTTATCCAAATCCAAACTGAACACATGCTGTTACAGCTTTTCTCATCACCTTAATGACCCTTTTATTAGCAATGCACAATCGATTTTGCACCTAATATTTGTACAATAGACAAACCTTGAAAAAAACATGATCTCTGCCACCATAGTGCCGCAGTCCTCTGACCTAAAGGCAAAAAATACATAATACAATACAATACAATGTAATGACTAATAACCTGTCAATGCTAGCAACTTTAAATATTGCTGGAAATTGAGTTTAAGAGGTTGTTTTTTTTTCAACCCAGGTTTTATTAGTTTTATTTACAGCAGTGTTTGTTTTTGAAAGTGCTTTAAAAAATAAACTTTAACTATGACCTTGAGCTGCTCTTTCAAGTTCAAAATGTTAACACGTTTTGGTTTAAGCATGTAATATGTTTTTTTTGGGTTTTTTTTTAAACACTATGACTTACTATGCTTTCACATATAAAGTCATGCTTTCCTAGAATCAGTTACTTCAGTTTCAGGTACAGTTTGTCCATACGCAGCTGTCCGCCTGCATGAGCTGTTATCTCTGTTCCTTCCCGTCAGCCTAAGATTTTGCGTCCTGCGCTGCTTCCTGGGGAGGAGCTGGTGTCCGAAGGGCTGCGGGTGCTTCTGGATCCAGACGGTCGGGAGGAGGCCACAGGAGGCCTGCTGGGGGGTCCTCACATCCTGCCAGCAGAGGGCGCTCTCTTCCTCACCACTTACCGCATCATCTTCAAAGGCATTCCTCATGACCCACTTGGCAAGTAGCACATTAATTAACCAACTTTTGTTTTTGTGCTAGTCTTTATCTAGAATTCATGTGAAAATATGTTTAGATGTACAGATTTTAAGACTATTCATCATTTTTTAGATGATCTTTATTCATAAGTGAAAACTTAGAAATTGTTCATTAAATTTTTTAGCTAATCTTATCTTCTAATGAACATGGCTAAATTGAACATTTCTGTTTCTGGCTAAGTCTCTTATCAAAATCAGAATCTATATGCAATTCATTGATTTGTTTTGCCATTTGTGTCAACCTTCATGTTTTTTCCTCTAACTATCCATTTTTCAAAGTTCAAGATATTACTTTAAGTAGTCAGTAATTTAGTTTATTTTTGTTTTTTCCTCACAGTGTGACACTATTTCACTTTCAATTTCTAAAAGAGTGGGTCTTTCAAACTTTGTTTCTAGTTGGAGAGCAGGCAGTGATCCGAGCTTTCCCAGTGTCCACAATGACCAAAGAAAAGAAGATAAGCATCCAAAATCAGCTGCAACAAAATATGCAAGAGGGTCTCCAGCTCCGCTCTGCATCCTTCCAGGTAAAGTGCCCCTTTAACATCCACATTGAGTGATGTGTGTCAGAAATACACTTTGCTCATGTTGTTTGAACCGTCCTTGTCTGTCAGACTAGACCTGCACTGACCCAAAACATCCTGGCTCTGAGGCTGTACTGTGGCCTTTATCACATGTTATTTCCCATTGCTGTTTCTAGTTGTTTGTCATATTACGAAAGCTGTTTAGAGTTTGAAGAAGATCATATTTTTTGCTTCATCATTGTTCAGTTGCTTTCATATTAGGAGTAAACATTCATATACTTGTAATTTATTTGCAGTTTCCCAAGTTTGAATTGTTATTTTATTTTTATGTAATATTTTTGTTTGGGTATTTGCGTACCGTGTGATAAGCTGGCAAACTTCCTTATGTTTTTTTAATAATATTTAATATTTTACTAAAAATGTTCTGCAGTTGATAAAAGTTGCGTTTGATGAAGAGGTGACCTCAGAGATGATAGAGCTCTTCAGGAAGCACCTTCAGAGGATCCGATACCCTCAGTCCATTTTTACCTCATTTGCTTTTGCTGCTGGACAGACGGTGCCACAGATAATCCTTCCCAAACAAAAAGAGCGGAATACTGGCTTTCGGTATGGACTTTATCAAGGATAAAATGAAAAAAAAATATATATATATATATAGTAATGAATATTTTACATGTTTTCTTCATTTTTATTTTTACAGAACGCTATCAAAAACTATTGTTAAAGGCGCCAAAAGAGCTGGAAAGATTACCATGGGCCGAGGCAGTCAGTCAACTCTGAAGAAAAATGATCGTAGTAGTAGCAGAATGACGTGGAATGAAGATGATGACATTTCAAGTATATTAAATATTCACACACCCAAATATAAATCTTACAAATATCACACATGTATTAAACTTGTATTAAACGTTTCAGTATCTGACGATGGAGAGCCACCTCCTAGTAGCACTTTGCGATCATCAGAAAAATCGACGATGGAGCAGCTGGTGGAGCAATCCTGTTTCCGTGACTACCAGCGGCTCGGGTTAGGCACTATCACTGCCAGTTCGTCCCGCTCCAAATCAGGAGAGCAGTTCAGGATAACAGCCGCAAACAGACTCTACTCTTTATGTCGAAGGTAAAGCTCACAGTGGCAATCATTCAAGTGACTGTAAGATAAAACTGATTTAATGCATTAGTCTTATAAAGCACTTTTCGAAACATTGTCCACTCTTGCTCCAAGATTAAGAGACTACATGGCAATGTACACCCTTTTCACCTTTTCATCAGATTATCCTGTGTGTTACTCATACCATAGTTTGTTGAAGCTAATGGGCTGTACAGTTTTGGAAAAAAATAATATAAAATTTTGATTTTTTTGTATTGCAATTGCAATTAGATTTAACATTTTAAGAAGAAGACTGAAATATGAATTGATAATCTAATCCTGTGCATTTCAGAACATGATTGTTGTGGTCTAAACTCCAGGTAGAACAAGATTTTTCTTTTTAAAAGGATATTTTCTTTGCAGAGATCATAGTATCACCTAAATAACAGCAGCCTTTGCAGTTTGGTAACTGTGGCAACTGAAACTGCAATTTCGATTTGATTGCAAAGAATAGTGACTCTTGTAACTCACATATTCATGAGTTTGTTTTCTTGTGTTTGTTTTAGTTACCCGGGGTTGTTGGTGGTTCCCCAGGCTGTACAGGACAGCAGTTTACACAAAGTGGCACGCTGTTACAGACACAATCGCCTCCCAGTAGTGTGTTGGAAACATCCACGCACCAAAGCCGTCCTCCTTCGGTCTGGAGGCTTCCATGGCAAAAGTGTTGTAGGACTATTCAAATCACAAAATCCTTCTTCAAGTAAGCATTTTCACATCATTATTTGTTTAGATGCAGTATTCTTACTGCACTAACTGAGGATCAAAACTTATGAAACATTTATTGTGTCTATTCTGCAGCTCCAACCTCATCCTCCGAGTCATCCAGTAGCCTAGAACAAGAAAAATATCTCCAAGCAATCCTTGACTCCATCCCAATCTACTTCAAGATGAATGGCAATAACACACTATCTAACCGCTCACTTGTTGGACTTTCTCCAGGTATAGTGTATCTGATCACTCTGGATTTGCTCAGTTACATAAAACCCTTTGACCTAATAATAAGATTTTGCCATCTTTTGCTGCACTGTGAGAACACAGTTACGTGTGTTTGCAGGAGACAGGAGGGCACATTAAGTGCATTTTTTGATTTAGTGAGAAAAAAAACTGCCAACTCAACTGCAGTTATTTTTGTCCATTGCAATGATTTCAGACAATGACAGACATTACCGTATATGCCCCTTATTGAATATGCGAGACTTTCTGCAGACACTTATCTAATTTTTTATGTTTGCTAAGATCTGGAAGGAACTGTGTACAATAAAAAGGTTATGTAAAAAATACAGGACAACCTTGGGTCAATGCCCTGCCCATAAATCTTAAAATTTCCTACTTGTTTTTTGAGCATTAGAATAGAATGGTTGTGTTTTTTTCAGCCACTGAAAGGAGGACGTCCAGGTTACCAAAGATGACCCCTGTCCATTTGGATATTCCGTTCACAAACAGCTTTACAAGAGGAGGTGAGAGAGTTACCTTGTATTGTCTTTTTCCTACAGTTGTTATCCTTCAAAATAGATTTACATTCACTTTTTCTTGCCTAAAAAATACAAAGACATACTACATAAAACAACTATAATAAATAATAATTTCAAAATGAATATTTTGAAATATGCATAATGTTTTACATTAACTTTAAACCTGAAATATCTACCAAGGCTACATATTTCTCAAAAAAGTAGTAAAAGTTCTAGTAGTGTAATGTGTTTAAAATATTGCATCAGATTACATGTTACACAGCCAAGCTCTCTAATCTCAAGGCTTTGGATTCTGGCCTTTGCCCGAGTGAAGTAAACTCACAAAAATATCAACAACAATCATCAATTTGAAGTGGAAAAGTTATTCTTCTAATATAAAACAGTCAATTTAATTTGCAACTTTCCAAGTTAATTTCTCATTCCTCATGTTTCATGGTAATTGAGGTAGTAATCAAGCATACATTCTTCCTTCCATGTCCATACATCAACTTAATCTTCAAAAAGCATGTCCATGTATCTGTGCTCTGAACAGGTTATCTGGGTTGGTTTTGCTGTCAACGTCATTTTGAGATAATTTGTTCTACCCCTCTCTTTGCCCCCCTCATCTGTCTCTGAACCTCATGTAAACCATCCAGTCCTTGAGTACAGAGATAAGCTTTTCACTCACTCACACCAAAAACATTCAAGCAAAGAACGGGTCCACAGTCAAGGTACAGTGAAATACTCCATCGACCCAGTTTCTTCTAACGTCGAGCTTCATTGCATTACCTCTGTCTAACCCCCACCAGTGGTCACTAACCGGCCATGCGCTTGTCTGCACTGTGCTGCAAACCACCTTCTACAAACATTGATAGAATTGCACTAATCTTTCTTGACTTTGCGGGCGCCCCGTTGGGAGCCGTGGTTTTTCACAGACCAATGTGGCTGCTGTAATGTGGCCATCATTGTTAATGCGTTGGCTCACCAGCACTAAGTGTGCTCAGCTCAGTCTGCAGCGGAAAGAAGGCTGTTTGTCATGGCACAGCAGAAATGAATCACACATCCGACCTGCCTTATAGTGACTAACATAGTAAACCTCATGGATATTCTGCAAAAAGCCTTTCACATCTGGATTTCTGTATTCATTTTTTTCTGTAATTTAACTTCTGTGGCAGAAATTATTACTTAAAATAGTGTACTTAAATTAACTGATGAAACAGTATTTTTAAGTATTTTAAGTATTAAATGAAGGAACCTAGAAACAACAAAAGCAACGTGAAAAATCATGTGCATAATGATAATGCTTCTAGGAAAACCTTGCATGCTGTTTCCAAAGAAAAGCATTTTGAACATGTAAATGGCAATAAAATATTAACTTCCACTTTCTGATGTTTCGCTATTTATTGACATAGTTGAATTGCTTGACTGCAAAAAAAAGAATTCCATTACGCACATGTAGAGTGCATGAAGTGTCGCATGTTCAAACACTCACTCACCTATCGCAGTTATGTCACCTTTTTAAAGCATCTTTGTATTCACAGGTATGTGGGCCAGTCTCCGAGGCAGCACCAGGCTCAGCCAGCACCACACTGGAGCTGAGGTTGGGGCCAGGCTGGCAGGGAAGGATCTGGCGCCCCCTGCAGGCAGCAGTAGCCTCCAGGCTCAACTCCTCAAACACCAGGCTGCGCTCTACATATTTGGAGAAAAATCCCATTTAAAGGTGAGGCGGAAAATTCGATATTCACACTTCAAGGATTATTATACATTTAAAATTACATGGAATTTACTTTTTATTATTATTAACTGAATCCCTGCTTATTATTATTATTATTATTATTATTATTATTATTAACTGAATACCTGCTTTTCAAGACATTTAGTAAAATAAGTGTTTCTCAGTTTTTACTCTAATTCTAGTACTAATTTAACATCACTATCATAGCATCCCTGTGGTCCATGGTCATAGTGATAGTTGAGCTGTGTAATTCCTGACAGGGTTTGAGAGTGGATGCATCTCTGAACTGTGAGCTTGTGCCAGTGGATTTCGCCGACACGCGGCAGGTCAAAGGGAGTTTCAAAAAGCTCCTCAGAGCCTGTGCCCCCAGCGCCAACTCCACAGACCCTCAGGACTCCTTTTTCAAAGCGCTGGAAGACTCAGAGTGGACCCTACAAGTAAGTCTAACTTACTTCTTAAGTCTAACTTAAGTCTAACTTATTCATTTATATTGAGCATGCGTAGAACATAAGTATCATGTCTAAACAATGGAGATGCAAGTGGTGATTTAAATATGGCATCTATAGAAAACCAAATAATATTGTTAATTTGTAACACTTGTGATATATTTAAGTAATACATAAATGTTCAAAAAGGAGTGGGTGAAAGTACAAACTTAATTCGTTCCACCCCTTTTTCCCAATGTTCAGTAACTCATTATTATGAATTTGGTTTCCACGCTGATTGCACTTACCAACGGAGCATCTCATTACTTTTGGTTATGTTTTCGTTTCTTTTTTAATACTGATACTGAGACTGAAAATATGATTTATCTCCTTCACACAATTGCCATATAGTTAAAAAAAAAAACATTCAAATGTATTTTGTAACTTATCATTTATAGTAACTACAGAATAGCTTTGACATATGCTTTGAAATATTATGACATGTTTTAGGCTAGCATTGTCCAGTAAATCGTCTTATTACACAAATGTATTGACCAAAATACATTATCAACTGATATCCGATCCATAAAAAATGTCAGTATCAGCACCGATATCCTCATTTTAAGTCAACGTATGGTCACCAAAACCATCTTCCCTTGGAATAAATTTTCACAGTAATGGTAATGCCACTATCACAATGGTTATCTGAATTACCCCAGTAGCCTTAATCCTTTATATAGACTATTCTACACAGGCTGGGAAAGTAGTTTGTGGGGAAAGTATTTAAATTAGTGAGTGGTTTTCCAGTAGCCCAAATGTGTTGAATGGACACTAATGATTAATCCATTTGTTTGTGTTAATCTTTCACAGCTTCACAAGATTTTGCAGCTGGCTCTGTTTCTGGTGGAGCTTCTAGACAGCGGCTCTTCCGTTCTACTGAGTTTAGAGGAAGGCTGGGACATCACCACTCAAGTAAAAAATCCATTCACTGATTATTTCAGTTATATGGAAAACATTGTTTGTTATGTCTATAATCACATAGACTTAAAACTTGATCAGTATTCCAAGGGCTGGGGATCTTTAAATGTCTTTTTTGTAAATTTAATTAAACATGTCTTTTTTTTACTTTGTATGATTTATTATAGAGAAATACCAAACAGAAGTACAGTGTTCATAAATCCAGTTAATACTTGTATCATTTTGTATTTGGTGAAACTGCCTTGTAAACTTCAATAGTGCTTTCCAAAGGGCACTATAACAGTATCAAGCTCTATGTGGGATTAAACTGTAAGTTTTACATAAGAGACTTGGACTACTACACATTCTTTAGTGAAGTATTTATTTTGATGTCACTAATAATCAGGATAGGAGTTACCCCAATTAGTGGTAACCATGACGAAAAGGAGGATGCACCAAAAGGAGATGTTCCCGTTGCATTTCTAAGGATTATCCAGACACGCATGGCATTTAGTAGGGTGGATTCATTAGTACCATCCTTGTTATAAAACAGGATCAGCAGCACTACCACACCTGCTCCTCCACTTTCAGTTGTGCCATCGTTTGCCCTGCTTTGGTCAATATTGAAATGAAAAACAGGAATGCTTAAAGCCTTATGTCATTGTTGAGTGCTGTTTTCTGTAATGATAGTTTATTGTTCTTTCATTTTGGGTGTGTTTAAAATATTTCTAACCTGATCACTATCCATTTGGTTGCTTCATTCAGCATTTTTCTGCATATTTACTCCCTGAGCTCATATTTTCCATGTTGACCTGTTAAATAACACATGTTTGTCTCGCAAGCGTGTCCTTCAAATGTGTTTACTGGGTTTCAAATGCCCCAGGCTGCTGTTTTAAAGCATAATTTGTGGATCCCTTATGCAGGCACGTGTTCAGCTTGGAGCGTCTCTCCACGGGCCACTGGCTCCATCACGCCAGGTCCTGATCAGGCCCACACAGGCAAATGGGGTCCATATGCTTTGGCTTACCCCCCTGTGCATGGACCATAAGGCACCCAGCAGACAGGAAGCATTGCCTTTGTTTTCTCCCAGTTGCTTTTTTGTTTTGTTCTTTGCTTTTCCATTTAACACCTTTTGATTCACACCCCTGCTCCACCTTGCCTACCTGCTATTATTAGCTGCAAACTGCACAGGGGAGGGCCCCAGAATGCTGCTGATACCCTTCACTTTGGGCTGGATGTTCTTGTAAAGCCCAAGGGAAGCCACGGACTATGTTTCCTGCTCATTCCTCAAGCGTCAAGCCTCATTAGTTGTGTTGGAGGAGACACGGGCAGGGAAGCAGGCCAAGCATATTGCATGTGTGGCGCTCAAATGGTGTTTGGTAGAGTGCTGAAAAATCTTCACGCACCAAGTTATATAAACATTATTGATAGCAGATGATCAGATCAGATGCTTGTCTTTGGTGTGTCATTGCGATTTTGTTCAAACCTAATCAGTTATTACTTGCATGCATTGTAATGTACACATCACATCTTTGCAGGTGGTGTCCTTGGTGCAGCTGTTGAGTGATCCGTTTTACCGCACTCTGGAGGGTTTTCAGGTGTTGCTACAGAAAGAGTGGCTGTCTTTTGGTCATAAGTTCAGCCAGAGGAGCAACCTTAACCCCAGCAGCCAGGGCAGTGGCTTCACACCTATCTTCCTCCAGTTTCTGGACTGTGTGCACCAGGTAAATCTAACTTTCCCTTCTAACTTTCCCTTCTCTGCATTTCCTCTATAGAGTCTTTCTAATAAATCTTATTCATATACATCACCTCCCCTATAAAAAGATTAATAAACCAGTCACAAGGTATACCTGTACATTTGGTTTGACTTTGCACTTTGCGTTCCTTGCTAAAATGTTAACATGGGGTCTTACACCATAGAAAAGACTGCTCCCCAGATGGTCTGTAAACTCATGATCAGGCTGACTTCTCTCCACTTGCGTGTTTCAGCATCCCTTCACATTTGAGTGCTTGTTTCAAGATGCATGTGGAAAGAGTCAGAGTTGGCAAGTTCTAGTCTCATGGAGAACAAGGATGCTTTAGGAGGGGCAGGAGGGAGGATGTTAGGAATGAAGGCTCAATAGCTGATCAACGATGACCTAACAAACTAAATTTAGAAAATATTGTCTCTTTGTGGTCCCACAGGTCATCAGGCCCACTCCCTCATACACTTACATCAACACATAGTTTCTCAGTTTTCATCGGATTGTAGACTTGGCAGCTGTCTCACTTTGGCCGGGGTCTTGGGCTCTAGAGACCAGTAAGGAGCAGTAAGGAAGATTCGGGCAAGTGCTGAAAATAGAAATACAAATGTCTCATCTCCAAAACAGCTGTTGTTTTTGCCAGTGGACCCAGGTGGCCACAAACATTCAACACTTGATCTTTCACTTTGACACGAAGTCTGGACAAGAACAATGGGCCTTACTCTTCCCATGCCATTCATGTCCTTTTATTCTCTTTGTATTACAACTATAATTAATATTCAACCACTTTTTTGTGTTGGCAGATTCTGGAACAACATCCTGTGGAGTTTGAGTTTAATCAGTATTATCTGAAGTTCTTGGCTTACCATCACATCTCGAACCGCTTTAAGAACTTCCTGTTGGATTCAGACTTTGAACGCTTTGAACACGGTCAGTGTCCCTCTTGCATACATCATGTCATAAAGTTTAATTCATTTCAGCATATAATGGGAAGATAACTGATGATTATGGATGTGAAAGTATTTTAATACTATAAGTGTACTATAAGTGTACTATAAATGTAGTGGATATCAGGCTCTGAAGATTCAATGCACCTTTAAGCCCAATAAATGTAGAAAATGCTCTTTTTTATCATTTCACTCATAAGAAATTAAACAAAAACTAAATAATTTGTACACAGTAAATAAATTGCATTTTCAAACTTCCTAAAGGTTTGTTGTTCGAAGACAAGGGTGACAAACAGGCTCGCAGAGGTATTTGTATCTGGGACTGCATCAACAGAATGCACAAAAGGAGCCCCATCTTCTTCAACTACCTTTACAACCCTTCAGAGAGTGAGGTAAGCCTAAATCTACACTATTATATTATTTATCTAGTTTATCTGATGATAAACATTTTTTAAATCATCAAGTATTGATTTACTAATCCCTGTATGTTCTTAGGTAATCCTGAAGCCCTCTATCGGCATCCCTAGTTTGAAAAAGTGGGACTTTTTCACAGATGAGACCCTGTCCACTGGCCCATGTTACGACTGGAGGACGATGGCCGTGAGGTCAGAGAGCTCAGAGGAAACAGACTCACTCTCAAACAGCCAAAGGAGGATTGTTTGGCCGTGTTATAGCAGCGTGAGCCGCGCCCAGCCAGATGCAATCACCAAACTACTGTTGGTAAGATATTGATTGTATTATGAGTATTATGTGCAAGAAAATATGAACTAACCGTGTACGAGCTTCACAGATCTTTTAGGGTTGAAGCGTTTGTCATTCTTCCATGTTTTATTTATATGTGCTGCTATTTATTTTAACTTTTAAAACTTTTATTGTATGTAGTAAACTGTTAAAAGAAAAGCAAGATAACCTGTTTTAAAAAGCTATAAATATGTTGGTTCATCGATTTTACCAACAAATAAAACATGTTTATTTGTGGGCTGTGGTGTTACAATGTGAATCTGTTGTGGCCCTCAGGGATATTTTGTTCTAGGTTAAGACATTCAATTGTTCTTTTTTTATCTTTTATAGGACATTGAAAAATTGGAGTCAGAACTTCACCAAAGCTCTGAAAGGTGGCAGACCACACTGGATAAAGTTAGAATCAGCATTCAAGAAGACCTCAAGCAAGAAGGAAATGTATGCAGCAAATTATATAACAACTAAAATGCTTTTAAAATAATAATAATAAATGACTTTTTTTTTCTTCATGTATTTCAGATCTCTAAACAAGCGGTGTCAATCTCAGGGCTCATTCCCACTTCAAGCCTCCAGGCCATTCAGCGGCACTCTATGCTGCACCTGCCAGAGAGCGGACTGAGCGAGGACCGCAGCACCTCCACAGCCAATGGGATCAACAGACGAGCTGCAACCCTGTACAACCAGTTCACCCCCAAGAGTGAAGAGAACAGGTGGGCCCTGATCCCCAGAACGAATACATTACAATAAAAAGTCCACATTTGATTCAGTTCTTCTGCCGCCAAGGGATCAGTCCAGTTTTGGAAGATGATTCAGAGTTTTGGTATGCCTTGTGTCATGCTGTTGAGAAATACTTGTAGTCATTCAAATTTGTGTAAGATTACTTGGGAATTCCTGGCTCAGATATAAAGATAATGTTTCTAGAGGAAGAATACACAAATAATCAATAGCATTTTACATCAATAATGTTCCAGCTACATCATTTCTCTGTGCTTTTGGCAATTCCTCAAGAACACTATGTACAAGAAAGCAACACATTGTTGTTGAACATTTTGTGAGGGATTTGTCAACTACACATTACAAACAATCTTGACTATTTTCTGACTGGTTCATTATTTTGGTGAAGATAAAGTATACAGTCATAATATAGTAACTTTATGACATGCACAAACATTTCTTAAATTAGAAAATTCTTAACCTTTTTTTTTAAAAAGGCTTTTTCTTGACTTTTAGGTCTTATGAGGGGATCCTGTACAAACGTGGAGCACTTTTGAAAAGCTGGAAACCTCGCTGGTTTGTGTTGGACATTACCAAGCACCAGGTCAGCGTTCATAGCGTTCACGTACCACCATTTGTATTGTTTTGTTAACATGTGTGTGTGTACAGCTGAGGTACTATGACACTGGGGAGGACACTAACTGCAGAGGTCACATTGATTTGGCTGAAGTGGAGTCAGTTGTGATAACAGCACCAACGATTGGCGCTCCTAAACACATCAGTGAAAAGGCTTTCTTTGATGTAAGTACATGGTAGTACATAATGTGCAGGTTCCTTCCATTTGGGTTAATAATAGACCTGAGACAATTTTGCAAAAGTTATTAAAATGACTTTTTGTACAAATTACAGTTGTACCATAGACTGTATAAAGAAGTGGACTAAGAGAGTTTGATGTCACCCATATCGTTCAGCTCCAGTCAAATGCTAGCAGTTACATGGGCTAATTTGGAAATGTATACAGTCTATGAGCTGTACTATATAACCATCTTTAGTTTAGTTTAGTTATAAGGGACATTGCGCATAAAAATATTGACCTACATAAAGAGGTAATATGTTTGTGCCAGGTTATTGCTCATTTCCACTTTCAGTCCCTGGGCAGGTCGATATCATAAATGGCTAGTTCCAGTGAATGTCCCAGTGACCACATCAATAATGTAACACTGGGACATTTGTCTTATATAGCACTTTTGCAGATGCTTAAAGAGACAATTTGTGGATTACTTATTCACTCCACACTCAGTCGTGATAAGATGCTATTGTAGCCACAGCTGCCATGGCATAGACTGACATGCTAACACCAAAACCTAATAAGATTAATTACCTCTGACATGTTTTTCTTTCCTTTTAGCTGAAAACCTGCAAGAGAGTCTACAACTTCTGTGCCTCTGACGCTCCCAGTGCCCAGGTGTGGATGGACAAGATCCAGAGCTGCATTTCAGATGCCTGAGACACAGTGGAGCCCAAACACTGCCAGATTACAGGTGGAGACGGGTTAAAGTGTGGAAGATACCACAACCATTTAAACGTCTGTGTCGTCTTTGGGACCGTAATGACAACAATAAACAAAGTGCCTGGTAGTGTTAACTTACACTATAACATTTTCAGACTTGTTGCTTAGCTAATGTCACTACTCCATTGGTCAGCATCATATGAGTAGGTTGGCGTGTTACCTCCAGGCCTTAGACAAGAACAAAGTAAAGATAAGCTGACCTTCTAGGAGACTGCACTATCAAATACCCTGCTAAATGCTGTAAATATACCAAGCAATATCACTGGCCATTCAAACTGTGGGTAAAACTTTAGATTTAAAATGACATAAACAGCCTATTAAATAATTTCTATCAGATATTTTTACTACAACTAATGTCGCTGCTTAAAAATTACTATGAACCGCCAAAAACTCATGAGATTTTAATGCACAATATGAAAAAGGAATTTGTTTGCACTTGTCTCGAAAGTATGCACTCCTCAGAGATTTTTAACAGATGCAGAAAATAGGCTATAGGCATCACTTTACAATGTACATAAAACAGCATAGAATACATGAGAAGTTTTGCACAGCGCATTCAAAAATGTTACCTGACATTTTCTATTTAAATACTGTATGTGATGTTTCCTTTGGTTGAATGTGTTTTGTTGTTCGATTAACATGTCTTATATAAGGTAATGTAAATTATTTTTTATATTAAATGTCAACAGTTTTATTGTTCGTGCCTATGTTTCCTGTACATACGTGTGACATTTCATTTTATATACTGTATTTACTTAACTTTTCTAACTGTAATTCTAATGTGACCAATTAGTCTTTTTAAATGTGTTAATACCTGGATGGCCTGACTCATATTTAATTGCGTTATAAAATACAAACATGCTCTGTATTTAATAAGGGCTTTAATAGAACTGATTGGACCAAGTGGTTTCTAAGATTTTCCTGTGCCCCACATTTACTAGTCCAAGAACACTATGAAGAAGCACACTAAAACTACTTAAGATGTCAGAGGTTTTGTTACTGTATCTATACCATGTGTTGTGGTGACACTAATCTTTGAAAATAAATCAAACATACTTGAAACCACCACTGTATGCCTATATTTTCTATTAAAACTTATGTATTTCTATTTCATTTAAAGGTGCAATGTGTAACTTTCCTAGTGGTGGGTACACTACCTGCTTGTGGCCATAGAGATGTTATTGATGGAAAACATATTCTTACGCCTCCCCACTGATCCGACCTGGAACTTGGCCTGATGACACCTATCTACCTAAGTTTGATGCCTCCACCAGAAGTAACACAGAAGCAGCACTTAAAACAATTATTTAAGCCTTAGCCATACATACAATCTAAAGTACTATATCAGAATAATAAGAAATCTTGATTTTCATTTTTTGATACACACTAAACTGAATTCATCTGGTCTCAACTGGATTTTGACTCAAACTGGCTCCTCTTTGACCTATTTAACACTGTTTTGTCCATTAAGAATCTAAATTTCCATTTTATTAGTTTATTAGATAATTGAATGCTCTATAAATATTCTGGCAGAGTATTTTCCATGTGTTATTTGGTCTTAAATTCTGTGTCTCTCTTTGGGTTGTGGGGGTGTGGGTAACTGGGTGTTCAGACTGGCAGCAGGTGCAGAGCCATAGCAGCAGCAGCAGCAGCACCATCTGGATCCTCTCTTTGGGTCCACGGGATTCAGGGATTAGGCCCCACGCCTGTGCAGAGGACACGCTCCGGAAGTTATCCACTGAGGGGGCGTTCACACACACCTCATCAAAACTAGAACTAATCTAGGACTGGAATGGGACCAAACCAAATCAAGACTTTAATGTTTTTGGTCAGGTTTCACAACCTGTTTGTCTTCATGGAGCTGTTATTGCTTTGCATGAACTGTTCCACAGTATGCTGTTAAACTTATCTTATTTTCACCTCTACACAGAACTGACCTGTAACTTGGCCTGGTGGCGTCACATGCTTGTCTCCACCAGAGATACATAAGTTAATACCCTACAGTCTGTGGAACGTTTCCATGATGACAAACAGGTGGGGACAATCCACCAGAAAAGTTACCTAGTGTACCTTTAGGGGGGTTCAAAATAGGACAAATGTGAATAAGATTATGAATAATAGCGTGACTCCAATGGCATTTTAATGGAACATTTTCCACACATTTTTAGTCACTTATTAATCTCTCAAAACTGCATTCCTTCAGACCAGACCAAATCAACTATGTAACCTAGAAATGAGGAACATTACATAAGCATTGCGTGAAGAGACTTTTGTTGCTCATTTCATCTTCAAAGCTTCAGTCTAAATGATTTTATTATTTATGAAAACACAATTTATTTGTAATTGTTGTCTTATGTGACGTGATGAGATTAATATTGTTTGATTAAATTTGATTTTGTTGAAAAAGACAAATTTAAGGCAACCTTTGCACGTAGGTCTTTTTTTCCTGAACTTCACAGCTGCACAAAAATGCTTGTTGCATGAAACAATGGCTTTACAAGGGCCCTGAAAAATACTCGGGTGACAGATGATAGTGATTTATTTTATTGGTCTGTTTCCGTAGGGCCTCCTCCTCAATGTGTGTAGTGTGAGAGCTGCTGGGGGCCCGTCTGAGGTCCACCTGCTCCACAGCGTCCTCACTGGTCCATCGCAAAACACCAGGAGGACTGGGTCAGATTCCTCAAACTCAACACTGAACCAACCGAATAGGCTACATTATGGGAGATTTTATAGTTTCGAGCTGTTGGGGTTACTATTCATTTCATATGTTATTATATAATTAGTTTTAAGTAGTTAATTCCTGTGGCAATAGTCAAAATTTTTCTGAAATTATATAATTATTCTGAAACCCATGGATATGTAGTCATTTTAGGATTGCAACAGATAATACATTTCCTGGCTGGCTTGACTGGTTCTTTTAGTTGTGTCTTAGAATAAATTGTGACAAATTTTGTAACATTTAAAGTAATATTAGACACCATGTAAATTCACTTTTAAAATGTATTTTATTAAATTGCGCATTGACACCACTGGGCAGTAAAGCTCATCACCATCAACACTAGGATGTTGTTACTCAGAAAAAGGAAATCTGTCAGGCATATTTCTGTGCTTCAGATTACATGGGCTGCAGATATTCATGACTGGGATTAGTATAATTTGTCACAGGCATTAAGGGTACAAGTGTCTGATGGTGATTCAGCGAGAGATGGCCTTATTTTTGGATAAGCTGTTTTCCTGTCTGGGATAAGAAAATGTCTTTGGACCAAATGGCTGCATGCCTCTCCATTCCAGGGAACAGTTAATCTTTTGTTATTTTAACAAAGGTTGTGTTTTGACCAAACATTACAGGATTAGACCAACATATCATTAATAAAAATATCTATATGAAATTGATTTTAAGCTGCTTTTGCCAAGTTCATCAAATAAAAAAAATTTAAAAAATTGGTCTCTATGCAAGCTAAATCAGCTCTATGTTTTGACACCCCCAGCAGTGAGGAGCCTAATTTTAATTTCACTGTTCAAATGAGGACCCCTAGTGGATAATAATACATTACAAAAGTATTGATAACAAGTACATATCACAAAAAATGTGTCAAAAACATTTCAAATGTACTCAGCTGAACAAATCTAGAGAAAGAATAAACTGCAGTGTACAGTATATGAAATTATAAAAGCAATATAAACATGTTTTTAAAATGCACGCAAAGCAATAACTGGCTACATAAAATTATGTTTACACAGTTTTGGTCAGTATGGTGCTCTGTATTTGCTGATTCACTGGACTTCACTCAGCTGCAGCAGACCAATTCTTATTTTTCTGCCAGAACCTCTTGCGTACCTCCAACTCCCCCTCTGTGAAGGCTGACGGTCCCCAGTTAGTGATTAAGTGAGGCCTTTTATGACCTACAAAGGTAAGAAAATATATGTGCTGTACAATCTTTGCAGACTGTTTACAATTAAGAAAACTTCCATAAAACAATTTAACATATACCTGGCTGTGTGAGACGCAGCAGTCCTTCATATCTGGTGATCACTATATTGTTGTTACATTTGTTTGCAACGTGCTCCAGTTTTCGGGTCACATCCTGTAAGTATATAATTTTGTAAAAATGACATAATAAATCTGTATTAAATTAACAGTATAATCACATCTTGAAGAGTAGAATAATAGAAAGTCATGTATATATTTATATGATTAGTTGACCTGATAGTGCTGGTCAGTCCGGGCTCTTTGCCTCTCCAGTCTCTCCAGCTGCTGAGTGGCCTCCTGTAGTCTCCTCTCTTGGTCCTGCATTTGGGCCTCCAGCTCTTGTCTCTGGGTCTGACTCTGGGATAGCGCCCTCTGCTGGTTTAGGTGCATCTGCTCCAACTCTGCTCTTTTCAAGACCTCCTCCTCCAAAAGCCTAAAAAGAATTACACAGAAAATTCAGATTCAGATTTATTCAGAATAAATCTATTTTTAGGCTACAGACATATTAATGATACAGTAATATTAATAATTCTTGACAATATAACATTTTTCTGATGCACTCTCATGCAACAATTCATATATTGACATTTCAGTATATGGGGGAAGTAAAAGTATGACCTAACTTTCTAAATATGATGGCATAAATTATTTTACAGTTTAAAAATATATTTGAGGAACTATATACGGTAGATAAAATATGGGGAAGTATCTGGAGAGTGTACAATATAACAAACCTCGCCTGCAGTTCAGTCTTGGCCTCTTGGTCTTGTTTGGCCTGTCTCTCGTCTTCTAGCGCCTCCTGCAGGCTGTGGTACATATTCTCCAACTCCTTCGCACGGAGGAGGGAATGCTCTAGCTCTGATGACTTCTGTGCCACTTGCTCTTCCACCTGGAGTCTCATCTTAAACACAGAGACATCCCAAATCAATGAATTTCTTGGCACTGGAATAAACAACACTGTTTGTACATAATATGTAGTCACCATTTTCTCTCTCTCTAGATCCAGCCTGAAGCAGTCCTGCAGATCTAAATTAGTCTTCCTTCTCTCATTCTCTATGTAGATATCTTCCACTCTCTATAAAACACAAGTATGATTTGTTACATTTAGTTTGTACAGCAGGTGGTTCTAGGTTTAGTTTCAAATAGTCAAATTACTCTGTGGTTACACAATAAACCATAAACCTTTTTTTAAAAACTATGTTGACTAAATACAGTCAAAGTTTAATCCCAGCTACTAAAGCGGGTGTGTTGGTAAAAAAACTATTTTAGAAAAGAGAAGTGAAAAGGTGCATATGGTGCCCTGCCCATGCCACTCACTGATGGCCATGCTCTACTGCTTTTCATTCGTCATCTGTTTTATCTGGATTGGAGTTTCCCTCTCTTTGTGTTTGCCCTATGCTTATTTTTAGATGTGTTTACAATGTCACTAATCAACCAGGAACAGTATAACCAGGGCTGTTCCGAGCATCTGGGACGCCATGTGCAAAATTCAGTTTGGGGCCCCTCTATTCACTATTCAAAAAGTTGCTGCAGTCATGTTTGGTTTTAAGTAAAATTATAATTCATTAAGAAGTGATACACACTTGAAAGAAAGATATAGAAATATTCCCCATTTTAATGAATATTGTTATGAACATGCATGAATATTGGTGAACTAAAAGGGTTCATTTATGTACAGTACCTTCTCCAGAGTCTCCAGTTGCTTCTGCTTGTTCTCATTGGTGGCCAGTAGCTTCTTGATCTGCTCCATCAACTTGTCCTCTGCAACCTGCTGTCTCCTCCTCTGCTCCCTACGTTCCTCACGAGCCTGACGCTGAGGAGGCAGCATCCCCAACTTCTGGATCTGAATGCACTTTTCAATGGCTGAAGTTTAAGAACGACCATAGAGTTAAAAGGAGGCCATACTAACAAACTACAAACATTTGATAAGAAGATGCTTACCTTTAATCCATTCCCTTTTTTTCATTTTATCTGATGCACTGACCACAAAACTTGTGTCACCACTTTTGATGGAAAAAATACAGCTTTTTCCATCTTTATCTGGCAGAGACTGTGTGGACAGAGGGTAGTATTTACAAATTTTAGAGGAGATGCAATGTTTAAATTTTAATGTGCCAAATTTACCTCAACTGTGCAGTTGCTATCTATAACAACTATTCCTTTTATCTCCATTAAATCCTCTGAGACATAATACTCCAGGGAATTGGTTCGAAGCACAAACCAGTACTCTGTCCAGTTTTTACCTTTGGGGCATCTTTTAACCATGTGTCCCTTAAAAAGGGACATAATTGTTGCTTGCTTGTTTGAAAAAATCTGAAATTATGATTTGAAAGTAGCATGTGATACCTGCTTGAGTATGCCGAGAATGAGCTCTTCAAACACTTCATTGATGGCTGTAGACAGAGTTCGGACACTTTTGTTTTTGAAAAAATGCATTCCCACAAGCTCAATCAGCTCCCAAACAGTTAGAGAGTTTGTATCATGCAAATTCCTTTCAAGATGATACTCTGTAAAGTTTCTTCCACTCCATATGTCACCCATAGCACTGGTCAACATCTTCAATAAATATTCAATCTGCACAAAACACATTTATAGATATTACAGATACACAGATACAGCTGTGTGGAAGTCTGGCCAGTAGTGATGGTCCTAAATATTCCCCAATATATGGGGTAAAAATAATGTGTTTCATAGGTTAATTGTGTAACCACAGTCACAATGTTAGCCCATTTTCTTGTCTATAAAATTTGTATTCAGTGCATTAGACTTGCCTTTTTGAACAGACTAACTAGAGGACACACTGGGAACAACATATGGACACACAGAGCAGCTTAGAACAAATATGTGCCAAGTATGAGATACATTTTCAATATTAGACATCTGGAGAAGCAATATACTGTATATAACCAAGTTTTTCCTCAGTGCTCACCTCCTGGTTTACAATGTACAGTGGGTATTTGCTCTCAGATAACAAGTTGAAGATGCACCAGACTTTGTATGCATCGTCATGTGAGATGCGCAGATGTTGAATGGAGAGGTTTTTCTTGTAACACAACATCCAGCAGAACTTGAACAACTCCAAAATGTCAAAATTGTCTTGTACCTAAAAAAAATTAAGGGGCAATATGCAACTTTTTCTGGTTTGGAGCATTCATTCTTATCATTAGAAGTGTTGCCGCTCTACACAGTAATTTGGTCCGGTGGTGTCACCTGCTTGTCTCCATGAAGATGGTCAGTTTTAAGACCATACTGGGGAATATTGTACCAAGCCAATGGAAACAAGTAGGTCCCGCCACCAGAAAAGTTGCATGAAGCACCTTTAAATTAGCTTATTTTTCCACACATTTAAGTGTATTGTATTGCCTTGTAGTAAATGTTACAAATGAATTATATACATAGACTGTAATATACATTTTAGTCCACCTTATTGAGGATGTAGTTGCTCAAATAGGGCATGTATCCCTGGTTGGACAGAGGACCCGGCTCTTCACCTTTGAAATGCTTTTCCAGCTCACAAAGATCAAAGGGGATCTTCATCACAGCACAAAGATTGACAGACAAAACCTGTAAAGTGCAAACAACCCGCATACTTGTAAATCTACATATGAGATTATTTGTGCATAATCTCCAAAAGTTTCAAAGCCAAGAAACACCATTTTATAAAGTTTTGCAAATACAAGCAAAAACATTTATGTGCCTAGAACGTGAGAACCTGAATTATTCCAAAACACTGCAGATGTAATGTGAATTAAAATCCTTTCAAGTACCACTTAAATTTGGCATTTAAAATTTAAGTTGATCATCAAAATAAACAGACCTTTAACTGAGATTTGGATACTTTTCCACGAAGATCCACATCTAAGGCTGTGAAAGCATGCCAGATACATTTCAAAAGTTCTTCCTGGTCCCACATTTTGTCTTGGCAAAAGAATTAAGTTTCCTTACTAGTCTATTGTGAAAGCACAATTGAGAGAAGAGCTTATTACTGTAATGCTTGATTGAAATGATTTTCATACTCTCTCATGGTCCACCCAAAAAGAAAAAACACAAGGGAATACATCAGAATGCAAATTTACAAAAAAAACACTCAAGACATTCCCTTAGCTTTTTTAATTATGTCGTTGTATATATAGATGATTTATCCATACACCAACCAAAAGCTTGAGACCTTCACGATAAGTCCAATTGTACATGCGAAAAATGTAGTCAATTGTACTTCCAGTGCTCACAAATGCATTTCCTATAGCCATACTGAACACCAAGAGCATTCTTTTTTTTTTTTTTTTTTTACCTGAATTTGTCGTTTACAAGTTTTCCACAACCCTCTCTGTAACAATGACAACCAGCCATTACTGAAGTCACTTCCAAGTAACAAAGTTACAGCGGTTCAGTTTAAATAGTCCTCAATTAAAAAATTTGCAGTCCAATACAGAAGGCTAGGAGACCTGAACAATATGAAAGTGCTAGTTATTAATTTACAGAGATCAGGCATCACATAGTGCTATGAAGTATCCAATATGCTACATATGAATACAGCTGTTGATACCTTACAAACGCCTTAGGTCATTTTCAAGGCTACTTGAAAAAAAATCAATAACCTTGGCTTCTATGTACATAAACCTGTTTTGTTTATGCAGGAGATAAATGTTATCACCACAACCAGAGGTATAACATGGCCTCTTGGCCTCAGTGATAATGGATTTTGTCCCATTTTCTAATGTGTTGCTATTAACCCCCAATTTTGTTTGAGTGGGGAAGAGTTGCCATTATAGCTTCCCCTCCACTGGACTCCAAAAGACAACGTTGTTCAGAGCTTCTTCTCTTGCATCGTGCTCAAGTTTAAGTTGGTTTGTTCGCCTCAGCCACTGGTTACATTTTGGTTGCTTTCCCACGTCTTCTGGTGGATTTCCAATAACAGTTTGAAGAATGACTGAGAAGAACCTGTTCTGGAACCACTACTTAAGGGAACAACACAAGCTTTTTCACTTCACTACAATCAGTCACAGAGTAATAAAAAGTAGAATGGAGGACTCAATTCATTCCCGGAGCAGCGCCCCCAAAGTTGAACGTTGGTGGTACAACAGGTGCTGTGAACTTGTATCCTCCGTGTTTCTCAATCATTTTGGATTCTACAGAGAAAGAAAATACATTAGTAATTTACGTCAGAGTGTAATAAAGCATTTTGCACTTGAGACAACTGCATCCAATGACCCATAAAAAAAAAATATTTGGGTACCGTGTGCTGCCCGTCTCTGGTCTGCGAGTGTGCCAATGTCCTGAAGCTGTTTGCCCTGCTCCTCATCCAGTGCCTGTGTCAGAGCCTGGTACCACGCCGGGTCACGGAGCTCAATGTCTAAAAGAAGAAAAGAATTATCATTGCACTGCTTCATAACAACACATTTAGTAGCTAATCAGTACTTGTCTTACTTTGTAATATGGCTTTGAAGATTTGATACTCGTCTACAAAATTGTCTTCATCGTCTACTGAAGTAGTGTATCCCTCGAGTGCTGTCTCCTCTGCATCATCTTCCTCCCAGTCTTCATCATCTCCATCCTCTCCGGCCTGCTTTGCCAACATCTCCAGATACTCCTGCCCCTCTTCATCAATATCGTCCTCATCACTGTTAAGTTCAGCTAATAAAAAAAAAAAAAGTAGAAAATAAACAAATTATAGACTTTTCTGGAGCAGAGGTTTGATTTTAAGCACAGTCCACGACAGGAACGGTGACATGAATAATAATTTAAGTGGACATACAAACAAAAAAATGTGTGGATCATGAGGTCATACAAAAAAAACAAACAATAAATCACAAATCCTACCAGTTTCATCATCTTCTTCCCCATCTTCATCATCGTCATCATCATTCTCATGCTCAGCCCGGCAAGCATACGCCCTCTTAAGACCGCTGAAGAGCATGATGGCAGCTGGCAGGAGCTGACCGGCCACTTGGTTGACAGCCTGAGGCCTGTGGTCAAGGTCCATCAAGGCGCAGAGACCCAGAATGGCCATTTTTCTGTCATGTAGTCTGCAGAGGAAAGAAATTTAGAATTATACTATTGTTGTCACCAAGTTGTAGCTCAATTGGTGTCAATGGTTTAATTATTCCATTGTATCAAGTCCGTTTACCCAAGGAAGCAGTCAATGTCTTTGAGCCACTGTGATATGAAGTGGTTAGTGATTGGCTCGGTGTTGTTGGGGAAGCGGAGATTCTCCAGAGTGTTGAGGAGAAGAGGAGGGCTGTAGTAAAGTGCTGCTATGGCGACCTGCAGACACATGGTCCTCAGCTCGCTGGTCTTCACCTCCCTTGTCAAACGCTCCAGTGCAAGAGCCACAAACAGGGGCACCACCTGCAATAATGACATTATGTTTATTCAAGCATGAAACAACAGGGTGTGTCCCATACATGAAACAATACATTTTTACTTTTTCTAACCTGGTCAATGCCACGGCCCTTGCACTGAAGAATAATAACTTCCAATAGTTTAGCAGCATGGCATTCTGGGTCTTCACCGGGGTCCCCTGTTAGGATCTGAGGGAAATGTCTTGTAAGGCTCACTTCTAAAAACAGTTTATGGCAACAGTACCAATAAAACTTCTGTTTTATTTACCTTCTTGCACATGCTAAAGATAATCTCCAGGTATTTGGTATCAGAGAGGAGTGTGTCAGTATCTACTGTGACATAGTTGTGAAGAAGTGGCATCATATCTGAAAAAGGCAATTTATTGAATTTGTTAAAAATTTTCTAACCATATATACCATAACAAAAAATGCCCATGTTGTAAGAACAAGCATGCACCTGTGAAGTAATCAAACCCATCCTGCTGGAAGACTTCATACACAAGTGGAAGCAGCTGCCACATTTGAGGTGACACCTGCTGGCACGTCAGGCTGTGAGCTAGGGACAAGATCTCTTCATAAAACTCTGAAAAACAGAAAAACGTTACATATTTTTCTTTAGCACTATTCAACATAAAGGCCAGCAATGAGGTGCAATGCCATTCTACAGTCTTGCTTAGTGAGCTTACCAAGAACATGCTGCTGCAGCACAGTTCCAATAACCTGCAGACAAATGCCTTCCAACTGCTGAGTGATCTACAAGAGCACAGAAAATGTATCACCAGATTGAAAAATGTATAATACAAAAAATACAGAATTTACCCAGTTGGATAAATGCATTTTAACAATTTAGAAAATTTTAACTGACAATAAATGCATGTCAGATTTCCCATTCTCTGGTTTTATAAATTAAATGGCTCTAGTTTGGTCAGAAATGGCTGTCTGCCTGAGCACTATTTCTAGAGTGTGGCTCAGCCTGTGAGTCATTTTGAACATGGTGAGAACAGAACGTGTTCCCAGGAGTTGGTGGGAGGCTGAAGTGTGTTGGCAGAAGCTCCGTCCGAATGAAGAGGGCTCTATGGAAATGACGAGCGAGTGTGGGCAACAGCAGCTCACCTCTTTGTGGTCCTCTACAACACTTAACAATGTGTCAATGGTGTTGAGGATGCCCATGGCCGTCACTGCCTTGTCATCTCCTCCCTCCTCATCTGGCCCCGTCTGAATCACCTGATTGAATGTCATTGCCTGAAAATGCAAACCATTAGATTCCAATCCACACAACAAAGTTTAATATGTATATTAATTAATTTATTAGGACTTTTCACTGGAGCAGTGATCATGATAGATGTCAGTTGTACTAACCAGATGTTGTGTCATTTCCACTGCTATGGGTGTAACTTCCTCACTGTATTCACAGATCATCTTCTGTATGACATTAGTGAGGTCATCATTCTCAGTCTCTCTGACAATGTGAAGGAGCGCTTGCATCACGGGCCTGATGAACGGAGTAATATATTCTTTGGCTAAAACAAGATTTAAGACACAAATTAGTTACATTTTAGACAATTAAAACAGAGGGTTAACATGCAGTGCACATACCTTTTTCTTGGTTGCTGATGAGAACCTGCAAAGCAATAGCAGCCTCTACCTTCACTGGCATCTCATTGTCATTTATCAGGCAAAGTCGAGTGAGCTCAAGAGCGGACTGCAGGTTCTGGTCACTTTTGAACTTCACCTCACAAAAGTAATGCAGCACCCAGCATGCCTTCAAGTTTAAATAAACAGAAATTAATCAACGTTTTGCAAATGAACAAACCAACTGTGAATAAGTCTTAAGGCCAATCACGCTTACCCTAGCTCTCATATATCCCAGTTCACTGCGGAAAAGGGGGAAGACGTGATTCTGCAGCATGAACTCCATCTGGTCCTTGTAAATTTTTTTCTGTTACAAATTAATTGCAACGTTAGTGGCTTAAAACCTTGGAAACTAACAGGTAAACATCAAGTAAAAAAAAAAACCTTGAGTAGAATCTCAGCCAATGATCCTATCATGTGGAGGGCACCATCCTTTTTTCTGGGGTCTGATGCTGGGTCTGTAAGAATTTGGTAGCAGAATCCCATGGTCTTTTGTAGCACCTGATCAGAATATCAAAATCATTAGGTTAAATTTAGAACAATAACATAAGATGTATGAGTTGCATTTAATCCATACCTCTTTTCTCTTCATACAAGCAGTGAACAGTAGTGTTTGTGCTGCTGTTGTGGGGGAAATGAAGTCCTCAAAAACATCTATGAGCAAAAGAAACTTAATAATCAGTCACGCACTTATGTACTGTGTATGCCATGGTTTTCTTCGTACCAAATTTCATGCGAATATACTCGTAGGGATCTTCCTGCCATAACTCCTCATCACTGTCTGTATAACACATGAGGGGGAAAACCACATCCTGAATAATAACCTGCAAAACGAAAACAATGAGTCAAGGATCAGCAACCCAGCCCACGATTGAGAACATAACTAACACTCAGTTATATCAAATTCATTTATACCTGAATGTGTGGCTTGAGATTCTTCCACGTCAGTGCGTGTGCAATTCCCTGGTTGATAAAGTTGAGTGTCTGCTGGAGTACTCGAGGAGCAACATATTGTGATGTCTTATACTGATATAAGACTTTAAGGAGTACCTACAAAAAAAAGAATACTTGAATTTTGAAAATTTCCATTTCAGACCTAAACAGGATGGGAAAAAATACCCAACATACCTGCTGTGCTGCAACTGCATACTCTTTGAGGAAAAATTCTGCAAATTCTGTGTACTCTTTGGTTGTGTTGCCTGGACTGCCATATCTAGAATACGATTATAAACGATTATTTTTAGAAACAAAGATTTTTTTCTTTCTTTCTAAGTGAATAGTTCAAAGCTTCACCTTTCAAACAGTCGAGCCAAGATGTGAAGTGCCCACTTCTTACACTTCCACCACGGCAGCTCAGGGCGCTCATCCTCATCGGTCTGCATGGTCTCCTAGATAACAAAATACACATTGCCAACAAAATTCTACAGCATCACCAAAATATTCAATGCACAGAAATGAATGCGCCCTTACTATAGGAACATCTCTGTCCACTATTGTCCTGAAGATTCCCATCCATTCTGTTAGATTATGTCTGTTGATTAGCTCAAGGGGAAGGTTGTACTGAATAGATAAAAAGAAAAAGGTATGACAAACACATCAAAATATAGTTTCAAAAGAAAACATGCAGTGCAGTTACCTGGAAGAGGGCATAGAGGATTTTGAGGATTTGTTTCTGGATCAGGACAGACTCACTGGAGGGGTTTGGGAGAAGCCGGATGAAGAGGTCTTTGAGCATGGGCATGAAAACATCCATGGCAGCTATCAAAGGCTGACGCTCCTCTGGCTTTTTGTATCTGTTTCACACAGTTAAAGTTACACTATGGACTGTAATAACACTTTAACATCAGAGAGATTGACTTACTCATAGTTTTTGACAAGCTGATAAAGACAAAGCAAGATTCCAAGCCAGGATCCACTATTATCCGACTGCAGATAGAAAGCAATTTTGTCCACAAAAGACCTCCACTTGACAGGGTAATCAGTCTTGATCATATGATGAATACACGTTGTCAACTGGACTCTAAGTAAAAAGTATAATAGTAAATTAAAGCTTCCACAGAAAAAGCAGTGTGCCATCTAATTTTTGAGTATATGGGGCCATAGTTACCTGATGCGCTCAGGAGAGTGGATGATAGCTTCTATTATGTTCTCTCGAATAAAGTCCCTGTCCGCCTCAGGGATGTTATTGGCTGGCGTGTCTGTGCCCGAGTCATCACCATCACTCCAGTGTTGAGTGATCATGTTCTTAAGGTAAATTACACCTATTTATAAAAAATAAATAAATAAAATGTTTACAAAATACCCACATACAATACAGAGCCCAGAAATCCAAACAACAAAAGAAAGAACACTGAGAAGTTCAAATGTTTTGAATGTGGCTCACAGGGAGAGCTCCAGGAATGAAGAAGATGCCGGACCACTGACTAAAGGAAGGGCCATCAAAATCCAACATACTGACGTAGACTTTATAAGCAACAGAACAGCAATGCAAATGTGTTTACAAAAAATTATGAATTACCTGCTTGTCTGATATCCAAATCCAGTTGACCAGACATGGTGAGTTGCAGCAGAGTAGACACAAAGTTAACCTGGGTGTGAGCCTGTGAACCAGAAACAGACATTTGTCTATGATGACACTGATATTGATGTAAAATTGCTTGTCTGTAATGAACAAATGAATCACTGATACCATGCAATCATAAACGTTGCAAAGACTTTAAATGCCTCTAGCCTTCACTGGATGATAGCACAACACAATTACCGCGGGCTGGAAGTGAAGTCATTCCAAACTACAGTGTCATGGCATGTGAGCACTGCACTACTCATGCTTATGTGAGTGCTAAAGAAAAACGTAGAGGATGCCAGGCCAATAGGTTTAACAAACATAAGTGTTTTAACCAATAGCATAAATACTCTATGAAAGAATACATTTTCTTCACTTGTGAAAAGTAAACAAAACAAAGGTACATGTGCAAATGTGCATTGTTAAGAGGTACCTTCTAACGTAATGGATACAAGAAGAAATGTGAGAATAGAGACAATCAAAAACGATTTAAACTAAAGCAATGTTAATGACACCTAAAAGGTATGAGCATTTGTAAAGTAGTAAAAAATGTCATGCGCAATCCAAAATCATTAAAACTGACGTATGAGTGGGATATAACGGAAGCATTTCAGGTAATATTTATAACTTCGGAGAAGATAAACTTGTTTACTTGAAGTATTGTCACAGTGACACGTGAGCAGCAGCTCATCCACAAGCAGCAAGGTTAGCTCGCCTCGTTTAGCTACAGACACGCTTAGCCTGCCATTAAATGTGGCACTGACCATAGCCTTTCAATCAACCAGCCTCAAATTCAGCCAAACACAGTAACAGTAACGACAAGGAAAAGTGTATACTCTAGCAGAATTTTTCAAAAGTGCGCAATAGCCACAGCAATTACTGCCACAGATCAGGCAGAGGGGGCTAACGGGACACAGCGGCACAGCTGGCTCGGTTTGGGCTAACACTTGCGCTGATTCCTGACACCTTAGATATTATGGGTGGAAAATAACACTAGGTCACTAAATATGAGCTCCACATATGACAGCGCATCTAAAAAGCCAATATCACTGCATATCGAGTGACGGGACACAGCGTAGGTTCGCATAGGGTAATGGAGATCGCTCCATCTTGATGTTGTGAACGGAGGCCGCGCTGAGACCGCGCCACTATTGCCATCGTTAACCGACAGACTTTTACCTCGTTCAGCCGCCTCTCCGCGGCCTCCCGCAGATTGGGGTCCATCGTGCCCCGAAGGGCCTCGATCAGAGCGTCAGGATCCATAACGAGAACTCTGCTTACGACTCGGATTTAGTTTTGTAGAGGTCCGTCAATTCCCAGTCACTGCGCACATGGACGCACAGCTCTCCGGTTACCCGGCGCGAAAGGAAGGAGCGGAGAAGTACCCGGATAGTTCAGCGCCGCACTTGTGCAACATGCACATCCGGCGGCGCTCAGGACACTCTGGGAGTTGTAGTCAAAGTCTTTTAGTCCATATTTTGATCTCCCAATTTTAGTTGAAGAACACATTTTAGACTATGTCACGTAAACTTTCAAGTTCCAGAAAGAAATATTGATATTGAATGGACTATCTATCGTTCACTGATATAGTTCTTCATGTGCTGATTTTGTGCCATACATAGATACGTACTACATACATTCTATAACAGTTCACGACGCTTTTATTTTGGTGCAATCCAAAATTTATCTTTGAGCTTGACTTGAGTTTTCTCCATAGAAATAATGGTTTTCTGATAGGGGGCGCTGTTTCTCTTGCCCGCACACGAAGGTAAAAGGTCATGGCATTTCGTCACAAGACTGTACTGAGAAACTCGCCGGTTGTGGTTGATTCCGTTTCTGTTACCGATTTTCTAATCCCCGATCTGATTTGAGCCGAGAAAAATGGCTAAAAGGCGGAGAGAAAGACAAGAAATAGACGGCCTCTCCTCGACACATGCGGAATCAAATGAGGATGCGAGTAAAACACCGATACTCAAAGGTATGTCCATGCTACGCTTGCGGCTAAACGCTAAACAGAAGAAGGCAACGACACCCTTGAGAAACAAACATCTTATGCCACTCTAAAGGCTGTCAATAGATATTTCTAAGGCGCTCGCTGTTTTAAGAGAACGTGGCCTTAGATATGCTGAATGTTTTTCTCTCACTTGCTCTAATGTTCAAACGATATGAGAGAGATGGACAGAATCGGTTAAATATCGCTGACGACCCTTTCAAGTGACTCGTTGGTCATTTTCCACTGATGTGTAAATATTAATGACAGGTAGGTGAGCAGAGGTCAAAAACGCATAATTCATAGGTCATTTATCTTTATTAGTTATAAGAAGCAGATCATTGCATTTCACTTTAGGACAAACAACGTTTTGGCTGCACATATTGCAACTGCTCGTATCAAATAGGAAAATCCTTCCTTAAATCATTGTCCCCCTTAACAACAACATCGCATATATTTCTGTGATAACTTGCTATAACATGCTTTATTCCACAGAATCCCCCCAGCCAACTCAAGGGTCAACGCGGATGTCACTTCTTATTTTGGCTTTTATCTTCACATGTTCTGCCTCTTTCATGTACCTGGTCTACAGACATTTCCCTGAGCTCTCTGAGTAAGGGTTTGATTATTATTTTAAGATATGAAGTCCTATGTAATGTCTTACATATTTAGAAATCTAGTATTGCAAATGCTACATAATCACTAATTTTGGAATGTCTTTCAGAGACGAAATGGAGAAAATCAAGATCCCTAAAGATATGGAAGATGCCAAAGCTTTGGGGACAGTGTTGTCCAAATACAAAGATACATACTACACTCAAGTACTGGTTGCATATTTTGCAACATATGTTTTGTATCCTTTCAGAAACTACATATTCTTTCTGTATTGTAAATTAGTAAATAATAATTCAGTATTGGTCTTATCATATACCTGCAATAACTATATGGATGGCCTATAAGATCTACATTACATTATATCATATTATGTTTTTTTTTTTTTTTTTTTTTTATCATATTCCAGCACTAAACCTGGATTTAGTACACTACCACTGATATGAAAAAGTGAAAAAATTCAATTTTGTTTGCACCTTAACATCAATCTTAGTCTTCAAACATTTGCGATACCTGGATCAATTTTTCTAAGTATCCTGTCAGGATATCTCTATCCTTTCCCCCTGGCCTTATTCCTGGTGTGCCTGGTATGTTGAATATGCTAAATGCATTGATACAGAAAATGTAATCTGAGGTGTGTCGTATGAATCACGCATAGCCATTTACTGCTGTACATTTTTATTATTTACAGTATTATACTCTGGTCACTGCAATAAAGTGAAATGCATGTTTGTACCTGCATCAAATCACACATTAATGTTATAGTTTTGTGCATAATGTGTATTACTTTTCAGTGCTCTGGCCTGGGGGCTTCTTTTTGTTATATGCTGTCTTACTTGGTGGGTAGACCCATGGTTTACAAATATCTCACAGACAGAGCTCAGAAATGGTCTCAGCAGGTGAAATATCCAAAATGTGTAATGATTAACAAACCCAAGCATTGGGTTATAATTAAATTTCATGTCATTCTTTTTAAAGGTGGACAAACATAGGGATCACTTGATAAATTACATAATCTTCCTGAGAATCACCCCGTTTCTTCCCAACTGGTTTATCAATATAACATCCCCTGTCATCAATGTGCCTTTAGGGGTGTTTTTTATTGGTACCTTTTTAGGTAACTTCTTTATATTTCTTCTTAAGTCATTATAAATTTTATTTTTCAATGATCATATTTTAAAATTTTTTCAGGAGTTGCACCGCCGTCCTTTGTTGCCATAAATGCTGGGACAACACTGTACAAACTGACCACAGCTGGAGAAGCTGTGTCCTGGAACTCTCTGGCTGTGCTGGGGATACTAGCAGTGCTTTCCATTTTACCTGTGTGCTTCCAGAGGAAACTACAGAAGAAACTGGAGTAGAGCACTTCACCTCATGCTTTCCTTGTGTTCCTCCTCAGCTCAGGAACAATGCAGCTGTCGCTCAACTGGCTGTGTGTTTGTGTGCATCCACACTGCTCATGACGCTGGTTACTGACCACCAGCTCAATAAGAACTTACTGATAATTACCAAATGCATGCAGTGGTTGAGTGGTCCATTGTACTGCAAGGAATGCTGTTTGCATTGGTTAAGTTTCTGTGAGTTGTATTATTTGTATGCATTTTAACATCTAATAATTTATAGCTCATTTATTTGAAGGTGCTACAGGCAGCATAGAATGGCAAGACCGATTTTATTCACTGTTTTTACTAGTTTATAATACTGCAACAGATACAGATACTGCTCATATGTTTCTGCAACAATTATGTTCTATTCCATTTGCAATATCTTCACACTCATTTTGTGTACACTCTTAATATTTATTGTTCAAATCAGGTCAAATATATGTTGACAGCAATAATTCGCAAATTATTGATTGAACAAAATGTCCTTTTAAAAAATCTTAACTTTTTATACCAGGTGCACAATTGCCAATGTATGTGTTGAAGAGGTAGACTTGACTGATGGTTGCAGCTGATTTTACTGTCACAAATATTCTTCTTTCAACTGCTACTTATTAAAGCTTAGCTAATACATGCTTAGATTGTACTTTGGATAGCATTAATCACATATCATCACATATGATCTTAAAGTATTCCATTGACTTCAGAAAAGAATAACTTTTTCAAAAAAAATATTTAACCTGGTTATTGTGCACTAATACCACACTTTACTTTTATAATACAGAAATAGACAGAAATGTACAGCACTCCCCTAATTACCTCAGTGCTATTGACAGTCTTAATGGTGCCTGCTGACAGCAGTGGAAGAGAGTGGATGGTGCCTATTTTGAGAAATATTTCAATTATACTGCATGCTTTGTATGTTCTGTGCCCCCCCCCCCCCACACACACACACACACCCTCACACCTACCCCCCTTTTTTTTTTCACAATGTTGGTCTTTGCTTGTATGCTATATGAAAATATATTGCTGCTAAAGTTGTGGAAGATTAAGTTATACGGTGAATGTACATAGAAAGAACATACATTCTCTTTCATCTGTTAAACTTGCTCAGTTTTAATCTGATGTCTTAATTTGATCTCTGATTTGAAACCCTCAGTGTGCACTGATCAACTTGTTTAATTAAAATTCAACCACAGAGAATGAGTATTATGTCTACTTTTGCTTTTTTATGTGAAATATTTGTGATAGATTGTGATATAATATTCCTACTTTTGTATTTATGTTTAGTAGAAAGACTACTCTCATCACCAGCTATTTTAAACGATGTCTCAAACAATCGCCAAAGAAACAAGAGTGCAGGATTTTGGTGCAAGCATGTTAATTACGTTTCCACTAGAGGGCAGGGTCGGACTAAATTCTATTAGTTGATTATCGTTCTTATTTTTATTGATATAGATGTTTTACGGAAATGTATAGGTGACAGTGTTGCTTCAGTATTATTGGCCTGCCTACCTATTCTAAAAGTCAATATATTATTTTTCGTATTGGCTATTTATCACCCAATGAATGTAGGTCTAACAATTGTTTCATCATTATGTCACCACAACAGCCATCATTTTCATGCTACTAAAATGCATGTTTTCTCACCTCCTGGCAGTTTGTTTGTTATTCTCCCATGGTTGGATCTGTTATTACTAAAGATGATTTTCTAAAGATGATTTTATTCTGAAGCGCCGTGACCGGACGTGCTTGCGGTCGCTGCAGTTTCTGAACGCTGCTGAGTATCGGTAGTGATTTCGAGGCTCAGTACCGCTGATGACATCCGTGATGGCAGAGGCAAATCACCTCCCAGGGGCTGTTTAATATGCTCCCCGTCCAGAGCATAAGGGCACCATTGGACCAGTCTCAAAATGACCACCGGCTTCAGCTCCGGTTCTTGCCGATTCGCAGATTATTTTGTGATCTGCGGACTCGACACCGAAAGCGGACTGGAGCCCGACGAACTGTCCGGTAAGCGCGCTAGCCACTTGGGTAATGCGGTACTGATGCTGTGGTATATTTAATCAGGTCTCAGTGAACATTATATATGTTAAACATTGTGATTATTTTGCTGTGTCAATGTATTTAATGCTCTGAATCATACAATAGGCCAGTGGTTGAGTGCAGGGTAGACTGCGTGTGTGTGTACACAGGGAGGATAACGCAAGGCCTCGCAGCAGCCTGTCTCCGCTGCTCGTACACTCAAGGGTTATTGGATTGTTATGTACATTTTGTTTATGTTTGTGTGAATGCATTTTACTTCGTCAACACGTTATAACCTGGTATAACGTGTACTCTTATTTTTGTTTGTGGCTCGATGGACTTGTCTTTTACAATAATATGTCAAGCTACGTGTGTACAATGCTATTTACACAGAGATGTTGACATGGTTGGTGATGGCTGTTGAGTTCTCCGCAGGATTAACCTAGGACCGAAAACCCATTCGCCCAGTGCATGAAACCTTGTAGTAGCTTCATAGCAGGATATTTAAAAATGTATCTAAAGAAGATTAAGTTACTAGCTTTTTTGCATATAAGGCCATCATGCCTATTTGCATACAGGAGAGATATGCTCATATAAGATAACATGTCCTATATTTGATCCTATTTAGGACTGGAGGAAAACATGCATGTAGTAATTGGACTGCCTAACTTTTCTGTAGCAGGGATCATGTTCAAAAGTATTAGTTTGCTAGTTTGTTGTGGCAATAAATTGACTATAACATTGGTCTTGCCTCCTCACCCCCCATCCCTTCCCCCTAATGATGACTAACAATTTTTGATTTGATATGATCATTTTTTATTTTTCCATATAAGAAAATACATGTTTTTAACAACAGAGGGTTGGTTGTGGTAGACCTCTCAATTGAAAAATTTAAAAGATTAGAGAGAGGTAAAGATAACATCAAATTTCTGCCTAACAGACCCTGAGTACCAAATGTTTCAACACTACGATTTGTTACCTGTACTTTACTAAGTAACTGATGTGAATGAATCTACTGTTATTCCTCCTTAGAGCACCTGTTGAGGTGAATTTGTCAATGCTTGTGGTTAGACGAGTCACTGATGCGATGACCTTAAAGCAGCTGTATGACTTTTGCTCTCTGGAGTGATGTCACAGCTCACATCAGATTAAAGTATTTCATGTGTAAGCTCATGTTGGAAATGACTAAGCACGGTCCAGGGAAACTCCTTGGCTTCATCAAAGAAAGTTCAGGTATCTCTTTCAATACAAACTTAAAAATCATTGTACTTCCCATTTCTACTTCTTGATTCCTCTTCCTGAAAGGGTTTTACTGAAATAGTGACAAAAATAAACTTAAAGAAGCTGTATTGGTTTGGTTGGCTTAGTTTAGCTGTACTGTATATTTGTAAACCTTTATTTGAATGTTACTATTTTGGATATGTTTTCACATCTTGGCTCTTTCAACAGCACATACGCACATTTATAGTAGCAACAGAGTTTTCTCAGTGCTTTGTAGACATTTTTTTTTTTCTAATCTTATTGGTGCTTGCTGTTTGAAGGTTGGGGTTTGCCCTTATCAGCTGTTTCACATTGGAATTACTGAAAGGAGAGGAAGTGGAAATTCCACTGTTATAGCTCATAGACTGTTGATCATATCAGTGAATGTGGTGAATGTGTGCTGCAGGTACGATGATGATGAATCAGTCCTTGTTTATAGTTAATCAAGGTCATGGTGTAAAATGCATCTACGAATGGCAGCGTCTCAGTTGTGGTTTGGCCTCATTTTTCTTTTTAGTCCTACAGAGTTATTTGTATGGCTTGATACTCAGCAGTGCTTAACAGAATGGAGCTGCAAGTAACAATTGTTTTGCTGGTCAATTAATCTATCTTTTATTCAATCTATTCTTTTTATTAATCAATTGGATTAATCGATTGATGAATCTCACCACACTGAAAGTCCATTAGTTTAAATGTCATGACCAATAGTTTGCCACTCTCTCTGATTCTCATATATATCTTATGTTCCTCATTTTTGAAGCAGTAACCCTGACCCATGTTGAATAAATGAAATAAAATGTTATAATGACCATCGCTTTTTGTCAGTCTACTTTGGGCTACATGGAGAGTATTAGCATTTGTATTACTGGCTCCCTCATAGACCTCACTGGAAAACTGGAGCACTGGGACATAAGTACACTCGCACACTGGCCACGCTCATTCAAATGCTAAATATCCTTTTCAATGTCTCCGGCAGACACCCATAAAGCCTTCCCAGCAAACAAAAATATATTCAATGGGACAACATGAAAGCATAATAAGAGTTTGTGGGGTTTTACATATTCAAAGGTGTGAAGATTGCTATCACTGTACCATACTAACACAGTGATGTATTTATAATGCACTCTTTCTATTGTAGTTGAAAATGTGTATTTATTATACAAATATATGTATATTATGGGAATTTCATATGACGTTAGAACTGTGTAGTAATAAGTTATTAGTCAATTAAATATTTGATGCAAATTAATTGATAGGGACCTTTTAGCACACAGGTTTTATTTTTGGTCTTTTTAGTGTGTACTTTTTACACACTTTTATACAAAAAAAACATTTATTGTTACCTGATTAATTTCTTCATCTTATTATTTTATCTTTCTGATATTGCTTGTAGCCTGTGTAGACACTGTCAGCCTAGTGTGCAATGTAGTTCTTTCCCTGTTTGCATAGAGCACATGTGATTTGTCCGGTCCCTCTTGAAAGGCCACCCTTTACATTCTTTCCCATCAGGACCGAGTAATTAAGCCTGCACATTCTTGTCCCTAAGAAAGTGTATTTTCTCTGCACTCCAATCCCACGCCTCCAAGCAGATGTTCTCAGAGCACAATGTTCAACCTCTAACTTAACATAGGGTTTAGTGACTTCCTGTGCACTCACCTTGGCCTGCCAGAATAATGAATGAGCGATCTACAAGACTAGAAAAGCAGATCATATCCTGAAAAAGTTGACAAATTAGTAATATGTGTTTATGTATTTTTTTCTGAGTGCACTTGTTACAGTGCGTAATAATAATTATAAAAATGTACATTAAATAATACTTGTAAATGTAATGTAAAATTCAGAACTGTTCCTTCATCCTATTTTATTTAACTGTTTACCATTTATGGTCAACATTTCCAACCCAAAAGTTTGATTGGTTCATGTTGCATAGATGTTAATTTGATGTTTTGACTGTAATTAAAGTCAGTACATAATCCAGTCATTAATTCTTTGTAATTATGCTTTTATGTTGCATTTTCATCCTCCCTTCATCCTCCCTTCATAATCTTACTCGTTGCACTTGTTTGGCCAGAAATATTCTTGTAGGTGTTTTTCTATCACTAGAGATTTGTTTTTTCCTACAACAATAACCATTAATCCTATATTTTCCTACTTAGAGCCAAATCATATTTCCGATGACTTCAGCCTGTGAGCGCAGTACACATGAGGAGAGTGGGCTGAGCTGCTGTAGTCTTGAGGGCGAGTGTACGCAGGAAGAGAGTTGAAATATGGGGGTGGTCCTTGGCTTTATGAGACGACCAAAACCAGCTCTGTGATGCTTGTCTATCTCTCAGCTTCCGCTCCATTCTTACTGTCAGCTGAAGCTTAATTTGTTGATGACACTGACAGTTATGAAACTGTCAATACTGTACTGGGGTAGACAATATTTAAACATTTGAATTATCATGTTGAAGGAAAATGGATGATCTTATGTCATTCCTTTAGAAATGTGCTAAAACGTATCTGTAAATGATGGTTGAGGTTCAAAAATCTCAAGAAGCGCACAAAACATGAATACACTATTAAATCAACAGTACAGAAATATAATTTACCTTATTAGAATATTATGCTGTAAAGTTTAGTTACTTTTATTTTTACTCTTCTCTTTTTGCTGCCTTTTTGAAAACATTTTTATTTTAAATCTCCAAAATTGTTTCAAATTGTAAAATTAAGATATGTGAAAATAAAGGTCTAGGGTTAATGAATAGGGATGTCAAGATTTTTTTAAAATTGTGATAATTCAAGTAAATAAATAAATTATCTATCATATCCCTACATTTAATGAATCATAAATATAAGGTCAAGTTATTTAGAGACTGTTGATCTTACCAAGTAATACTGGCTGCATAATACTATTTCTGAGGGCCCTCTTTGTTATCTGTGTTTGCCTTAAGGATTTTCATCTTTCAACAGCATCATCATCAACATGTGACAGGTCTTTTGACTCTCAGGCTTATGACACAAACAAGAATCTTGTCAGCTTCTTGCATCAAGAAAAAGTGAAGTGAAACCCAAACAAAAAGGCTACACACTGCACACCCAGAAATAATTTGTATAATAATAATCCTACACAATAAATATGTTAAAATCATCACATATACATCACATATACATATAATAATCATCACATCATATATATATATATATATATATCTATATATATATATATATATATATATATATATATATATATATATATATATATATATATATATATATATATATATATATATAATATATTTGGTGTCTGACTCACTCCTTCAAAAAGACAGTCTGAGCTTTGTAACCTACTTTCTACAGAGTTGGCAGATTATGAAAGTTACCACAGCAGATTAAGCCTCTAATCCTTAAGGCTGTGGATTCTGTGCCAAGACACTTTGGTGTACCTGTGTCTACTACTTTGCCAGACATGCTGTATCTTTACATGCCAGCTATGGATCTTTGTGGAGAAGACTTTTAATCAATGAACCTTACATAATTACAGTCTCTTACCTGGAAAACCTACTGTGAATGGTTTTCAAGTGTAAAAAGAACTGTTAAGAAACAAATGAAAAATAAACAAAAAACAATCATCTACTTCACTTTGCAATTGATTCTAACACACATATTTTTTAGTGGCCTATTTTTATCACCCTAATTATACACCACAAATATATGAACCTTTGTGTTGCAGTGTTACGTTGGACTTGTGACTGCCCAGGTTGTTTGAAGAAGCTAATATTTTGTGTGATTTCAATTTATAGATGCAATAATAAAAATTAAAAAAAACACTTAAACCAAAAAAAACGCCAAAAACTTTTATTTATTTATTAACAGCTAGTCCTAGGTTTCAGTTGATTATTTTTTTCAGCTTTTGTGTTCTGCATGCACAGCACTGACTGCATGAAGAGGAGAAAACACTACCCTTGTACATAACCCCAGCAGCTGGCTTAATTTAGCGTAGCCACCTGACAGAGACATGCTAATGCCCTGTGTCTGTGTGCAGCCAGCTCTCAGAAGCACAGCTGTGTTTGCACAAACAGAAGTGATGCGCTGTCCACTGAGAACATGGATTTTAATTCTGTTTTTGTTGTTTTATTTGTTGTGTAGCTTTATGCCAGTATATAGAAGCTACTAAATTCAGAGATGGGGCGCGTGGCAAACTAGCAAGGGGAAATGAAGGTAACCCTGGCAACACACACCTCCCTTTAAAACCTGGGCACAGCTTCAACCCTTCACTGCACCTTATAACCTTTGACCTTTGTTTATTCCCTAATCTGACATCTTCACTATGTTTTTCTGAGCAGGTGTGGGGACTTGCCTGTTATTTTTGCACCATATTTCTTATCTTGGTTTTCTCACCCTGCTCTTTTTGACCAGCTCCTTCAGCCGCAAACAATGAGCCAATGTTTGACAATCACCGCTTCTGTTCCTCTCACTCAGCCGGTGCTCCCTTCACGGGCGATGCTTGGTTGATGTTGTCTTTACCCTTAGTATGAATGACTTTTATTATTGCTGGTGTGTGCATCACTTCTGCTTAACTCTGGGTCAAAACTACTGTAAGTTAATTTGTATTGACATTAAAGCTGACAAAAAGCATATAATGTTTTGACCATAATGCACATGACAGCTTAAATGATTCAATACAACCTTTTTCTAAATACAAAACTGCTGACTCGCTTTCCTTCTGAAGTTTTGCCTGGCACCTTAAGCCCACTGCTTTTGATCCAACTATTGTCAAATTAAGTAGTCTGTGGAATAATCATTTGTTCTTTCGTTTCTTTTCTGTTTTTTTTGTTTTTTTTTCCCAGGTGAGAATTTTGAGCAGAGTCCACTGCGACGAACTTTTAAATCCAAAGTTTTAGCACATTATCCAGACAATGTGGAATGGAATCCATTTGACCAGGATGCTGTGGGGATGGTATGAGTATTTATTCAATACAGATAAGACATATGGTTGTGGTCTATTCTCATCAACATATTCTTGTTCTTGCACTTTCCACAGCTCTGTATGCCAAAGGGTTTGTCGTTTAGGACACAGGTGGACACTCGAGAGCCCCAGTTTCACTCATTTATCATCACCAGAGAGGATGGCTCTCGGACCTATGGCTTTGCCCTCACCTTCTTCGAGGAGGTGACCAGCAAGCAGATCTGCAGTGCAATGCAGACTCTTTACCACATGCACAATGCAGAGCAGTATGACATCTTGCACACTCCCACATCTCCCAAACCTCCTAAAGGACTAGAGGAGCCACGGCAGAGGCCCATTCTGCAGGCCGCCCCTGCCATCTCCCGCCTACAGCGCTTCAACTCCTACGACATCAGCCGTGACACTCTGTTCGTCTCTAAATGCATATGTCTAATAACACCAATGGCTTTTGCCCAGGCCTGTAGGAAGGTGCTAGAGCAGCTGTACCAGGCAGTGTCCTCTCCGCAGCCTCCTCCTCTGCCTTTAGAAAGTTACGTCTTCAACATACTCTATGAGGTGCCCCTGCCTCCATCTGGACGCTCGCTGAAGTTTTCGGGGGTGTATGGACCTGTGGTGTGCCAGCGGCCCAGCACTTCTGAGCTGCCACTGTTTGACTTCGCCATTGGGGAGGTGTTTGAGCTGCTGGGAGTGGAGAACATACTTCAGCTCTTCACATGTGCGCTGCTGGAGATGCAAATACTACTTTATTCACAGCGTAAGTACTGACCTGCCCTGCCTGTTTCTATTGTAAGTTAATTTTTTTAACATCAATACACCTTGTACTTTCAAAGCAGTCAAAACCAGCTGAACTAGTGGCAAGCCTTTTTTTATTACATTTACGTTTCTGTACAGAAAAGTGCCCTGTCATGCTTAGCTTTTGCTCTTTTCTTTCTGGTCAAGGACTCATCTTTTTATAGTCTTAAAAAGTGTAGCTTGAGGTTTCACCACAACAGATGTCTTCTCTGTGCTTGTTGGAGCTATTATGCCACATATTACGTAACCTTGAGTGTTTTCTTGAAAGTATGAATACAGAACATGTTGCTTACTTAGTCAGCGCTAGAGGATATGTGAGCTTTTATTTTCACTTTTGCTGCAATGGTCAGACAATTTGTTTTACTGTAGATACCTCATATTTTGCTTTTGAATTTTAGAGTTAATTTTGATTTGACTTACAAAGGAGTTTGGCTACTCTCTGGAAATGTACTGCCATTTTATGCATAAACAAACCACTATTTTGAAACTATTGATTTTTTTTTTTTTTTTTTTTTTTACAAGCAATAAAGGGCCCTTTGAGATCCTTTGAGAAATACTAGGAAATATCAAATGTCATAAATTTTCAACAACATAAGGTTAGGATTACACTAATGAGTCATTTACTTTCAGTTATTGATTGCTGATCTATCAATAGTGGGCCCACAAGGACCACACAGTGCACAGAGAAAGCGAGAAAGATGGAGCGGTTAGAAAATATACAGAGATGTTGGGGTTGGTGACTTGGCATGGTAATTGGATCCATTACAATAGCCCAAAAAGGCAAGTGGTCGACTAAGCACAGGGGGCCGTGGTGCAGCCGTGAGGGGAAAGCTGTCCTGTTGCCATGCGACGCAGAGGCAGGGAGGACAGACGTGGAGCTGGATGATTATTATTGGTTAGAAGTGACATCATGCCTCCCCCCGAGAGGCTCATCACTGCGGAGCATGTGAAGGGTGTTGTGAGAGTTAAAGGCCGGCTGTCTTCCTCTCAGAAGAAGCAGGGGGTTGTTACACAAGGACTTGCATTTAAACACACTCTGAGCAAAATGAAACTTGGCAAAATATCAAAGGCTGAAGTCCACATTTTCTGATTAAATGTAACTTTCTATCCCTGGCTGACATCTCCTCAAAACTGTGAACAATTGCGTTTTGTTAGGTAATATATTCAGCCCATTTCTGCCTGATGGGAGGCTAGAGATGTGTCACTCAATGTATTCAGTGTTGTGGCAAGCTACAATTAAATCCTTGTGATTTTCAGTGACAGGCAGCCATAGAGAAAATTATATAGGAGTGATGGAACCAAAGCAGCCACATTTTACTGCACATACCTTAACGTGAGTCATTGATACATGTTAAACTTAGCTTGTCATATGGGTTTTCCAAACACAGAGTTTCACATTAATAGAATAGACTATGGTGGCCCCCAATAGTCTAAAAAAAAAAAAACATCGACTAGAAATTGGTATAACAAAAACTCACTTTGTTGCTCCTTGTACTGGTATGAACTACAGTGTTCAAAAAGGCTTAAATATGAAATACAGGCAATAAGTGACATTCAAACAAATTGTATGAAAGCAAATATCACCAAAATGTATGGTTAATACTGCAAACTGATACTGCAAGGTTTAAGAAAAGAAGTGTTAGTATTCTGGTCTCTGTCCTGAGAGAGGAGGCCTGTTGAGAGGGGGTTAGAACAGGGGCCTGGGGGAATGAGCGTCTCCCCATGGGACACCACATGACCAAAATAAGGAAAAGTGTTTGCTTTGGCACCATGACAAGTGAGACCCAACTGTTCCTCATTATACCCAAGGTGTCAGCAGATAAATCAGGAATGCAGATGTGGACGGATGGAGACATGCTTTCCTTGTATACGATTCATGACAAAGGAATTTGACAAGCACATGAGCGAGGTGCTTTGTGAAGACGTGTCAAGATAATTCAAAGGTCATATAGCCTTCCTGTGAGAGCACTCCAATCGATCCTATGTTTTTAGGTCAATTCTGGTGATCAAAACATTGTATTGCTTTAACTGTAAGGAATTATCCACAATGTATTACAATGTTAAGTAAAGGCCACTGTAACAATGTAATTTTTACATGTTGAATTGTTTTGTTGTAGATGTTGCCTTGTTTTTTTAATTTTCGGTCTATACCTCCATGCCTTAAATGGATGCGTTCCTGTATTTTAAACAGATTACCAGAGACTGATGACGGTGGCAGAAAGCATCACAGCCTTAATGTTCCCCTTCCAGTGGCAGCACGTTTATGTTCCCATTTTGCCTGCCTCGCTTCTCCACTTTTTGGATGCACCTGTGCCGTATCTGATGGGGCTGCACTCCAACGGACAGGACGACCGCACTAAACTAGAGCTGCCTCAAGAGGTACAGCTAAAGTTGTTTTTGACCTCCCTAAAATTTGTTGTAGGAAAAGGTTATTCCTAAATGGACAAAAGGCACCCAACATTGTTATACTGTTAATACTAGAGTAGATTGTAGATGTAACATTTCCAACTGTCTTCTTAGCCTAAAGGCAATGTTTTTTGTGTGGGTATGAATAGTTAAAATAAAAATCTCTGTCCTCTACAGGCTAATTTATGTTTTGTCGACATTGACAACCACTTCATTGAACTACCAGAGGAGCTACCTCAGTTTCCCAACAAACTGGAGTTTATCCAAGAGATCTCTGAGATCCTTATGTCATTTGGCATTTCTCCAGAAGGACGTCCACACTCCAGCGACAGCCAGCCCAAATACAGAGGCCTGCGCTCAGTGGATGTGGTTTCAGACAAGCGCAATGGCAACTTGGCATCACCACTCAACTCCTACCTGCTGAGAGAGAATGAAACTATCGCCAGGCTTCAGGCGTTGGTGAAGAGAACAGGAGTCAGCCTGGAGAAGGTACGAAGTGTGATGCGAAATGCACACTGGGATTTTTGTTTATCAGCCACTATAGGGATGCTTCTACTGATGAAAAATATTTGGAACTTAAAATAGACACTGTACACTTTAAACATTTGGTTCATCTGTTTGCAATTAATTAATTAATTAAAGCAAATATCATATATATATACTATGTTTATAAATCTTTTTTTTTTTTTTTTTTTTTTTAAATCAATGAAGGCATAAATAATTTTGTAGTAACACTTTAAATCCACTAGAGGGAGGTACTCTATTGCCATAACAAGCAATTGTAATGTTTTATTTATGGAAGTTGCGGTTTGCTAATTTGCCATCTATTTTGATTTTTTACTATTGATTTATAGTGTTTATTCCTCATTTATTCTCAGTGCCATGATAAAATAGTTACATGTACTATTATTTTCATGTTTTATCTGAACCAGTTTTGTAAATTAATTTTCCCCTGGTTATTATGAGCCTGTCATCCTTTTGTGTTCTGATCTCATTTTAAAAACATGTTACTGTAGAGGTCTTATCTGTCTTTTAACCCCATAGTGTTGGCATCTGTACGATTGACCTACTGACTTTCTAAAGATAGATGTAGCCTTTCAGGCTGTGGCGAGTCATAAATCACAGCTGATATCCTTGACTTCTGTTCCCATGCCCTTGTATTCTCAGGCAGCCAGTCAAAGAATAATTGGTATAAATTGGGATACAATCAAAACACACTTTATACTTTAATTCTACTGTACCCTTTAATTTGGCCTTTTTTTTACCATCAGCTGGAGGTTCGGGAGGATGCCAGTGGGATCAGAGATGCTCGGGCTCATTGTGATGAGGAGGAACTGAAGATGCATCAGCTCAACATCCATGTTCGGGAAGTCTTCGCCAACCGTTTCACTCAGATGTTTGCAGACTACGAGGTGTTTGTCATCCAGCCAAGCCAAGACAAGGAGTCCTGGTTCACCAACCGGGATCAAATGCAGAACTTTGACAAGGTATTCAAGAAAAGTTAATAAGGACTATAAACTGAAAAAAAGACGTAAAAGCTTTGTAAATTGAAAAATATATATTAAGCCATGTATAAATACTAATTTTTGGGTTGCACCATAGTTTAATGTAGCAATTAAAGATAAAAGAACAGTTTTGATGTGCCCTTTTAAGCTAACACAAGCTTTTTTGTCTCCAGGCCTCCTTCCTCTCAGACCAACCAGAGCCGTACCTGCCCTTCTTGTCCCGATTCCTTGAGACTCAGATGTTTGCGTCGTTCATTGACAGTAAAATCCTCTGTCATGATGATGAGGAGAAAGAACACACACTGAGGGTGTTTGACTCGCGGGTTGATAAAATACGCATGTTAAACGTTCGCACGCCCACTCTACGCACTTCCATGTACCAGAAATGCACCAACATCGAAGAAGCAGGTAATTCATCTTCCTTTTATTGTAGGTCAAAGATTTGTTGTAAAAATGTTGCACTTTATTTTCATTTATTGTTTACATGATGAATAAATGACTAGGTGCAATATTTAACAGTTAATGGGTCTATCGATTCATGTGTTATTTGCAGACAATCTACTAAAAAAGAGATTTGAAAAAGCTGATTTTTTTTGCTCCTGGACCTCATGTAATTGGGCCTGAAAATGACACAACTCACATTCGTAATATTTCCTTCTGCCGTATATCCCTTGGTGGTGGTTACTCCAAATGTGTGCAGTGCATTAGGATTTCAGTATTAGTTATTTGTTCTAAATATAGCAAGGGCTCAATTTCTGTGTTCATATATTGTTATATCAATAAATCATAAAAAATAATACATCAAAACTCTAATATGTATCTAATGAAGTTCAAAATTCCCTCCCACTTTGGGGCTTGCTGTTCTGAAAGTAAATTTACCTTTTTAATTATTCCCAGTGACTTAAAAAAAAAAAAAAAAAAAAAAAAGCACAACTGAATATTACTGTTTTTCGAAAGGTCTATGAAAAAAATGAAAATTTACATGAGTGGTCACTGTTGAGCTCCATACTATGGCCATTATTTTGAATCCTCTTTGTATTGCACACAGATAATCTCCCTTAAAAACTTTAGTAATGCAATGTCTTTATCCTGCTGCTGACTCTATACACTCTTTACTGGTTGTTGAAGATCTTTACACTCTTTTTATTTTTTTTTATTTGTTACTTTGAGTGTTTTTGTCTTTACTTGGACTTTTGAATGCTTCCATTTAGACAGGAGATTGTGTGTATGTGTGGGTGAGTTGTTATTCTCTGCACTCAGATAAAAAACTCTGAGAAAATGTTTTTCTTGTTAAGAAATGAATGAGGATTAGACAGCAATTATTTGTCACTCTTGTCTGCTCTGTGGGTGTTTGAGAGGGGTTTTGCTTGGAGCCTTTCTCTGTAACCACTAAGAGCCCATCTAAAAGTACAGCATTTTAGATGACATTGCCTGATTGATAAAGCCATGTCCGTGTTATTTGTAAATCTTCAGTTAATTTAGTGTAGATTGTTAAATGTCTGTCTGTGTCCACTTAAGAAAAAGCCATTGAAATGAGAGTCCACAAGATTGATCACACTGCCCTGCACCCACATTTGCTCGACATGAAGATTGGACAGGGCCGCTATGAGCAGGGCTTCTTCCCTCGACTCCAGTCCGATGTACTCTCTTCTGGGCCCACTACCAACAAGTATGCGAACTATATAATAACTACAGCATAAGAAATTGTATTTTATGGTATTGGAAATGCGATTTAATGCTGTTATATTGATTGTGAATGTTTATTGACCTGTGCAGGTGGACCAAGAGGAGTGCTCCTGCCCAATGGAGGAGAAGAGATCGGCAGAAGCAGCATGCAGAGCACCTTTATTTAGATAATGACCAGAGAGAGGTAACTCAATCAGCTCTGAACTGGGATGAGCATGATTTCCATTTGGCTTTCTTTCCATCTTTCTTTTTCCTTTTATGTTTTGGGTAACATTTTATAATAACTACACTTTTTAATAGCCTCAATAAAGCGTGAACAAGGACTTAATTCTTAATGGAAATGTGATCCAGGCTTAGTAAGTACTTAAACAATAACCTAGCTATGAACCCTATCCCTTAAGTTTTTACTAAGCCTGAATCTTTTATTAAGGCATGAATAAAATTGTATTCATTTTGAACAAATACTTCATTAAGCTAATTAAGGTGTAGGTATTATAATTGTTTTTATTTGCATTAAACTTTTTTATTTATCTGCTTTTGTAGGTTAACACGTCTGTCACTTCTTGTTTGTCTTTTCTTTTGCTTCTTTCGCACTGGCACACGCTCGCTCTCAGCATGTAGAGTGTTTGTTTCCGGAGCTGCAGCTCTTGCTGTTTCTCGACTACTACTGGCTCTCTCAATCCTTCAGGCCCTGTTTAAAGTCGGTCTCTGTGGATGTGGTATGTGTCTGTAGTGTTTGGGCCATAGCTTTCCCACTGGGGCAAAAAGAACAGCCAATATAGTAGACTTTTTATGAGCTTCTTTGTTTTGTGAGAGGCTTAAGTGTCTTTATTTTCAATGTTCTTTTTAAAATATGTGTTTTGTTTTCAAGAAATGGAACTGTTGAGTTTCTGTCATTCTTATAATGATTTTTATTTTCCAGAAATATATTCAAGAAGCTAGAAATCTGGGCACTACCATCAGACAACCCAAACTGTCCAACTTGTCACCTTCTGTCATTGCTCAGACTAACTGGAAATTTGTTGAAGGGCTACTAAAGGAGTGCAGGAACAAGGTTTGTGCATTTTACATTGCTTTTTCCTGTTATGACAATTGTTTTGTTATAAACTTGTATTGAATCATTTTGTATCGTCCCACAGACTAAACGTATGTTAGTTGAGAAGATGGGACGGGAAGCGGTGGAGTTGGGTCACGGAGAGGTCAGCATTACAGGGGTGGAGGAGAACACCTTGATTGCCAGTCTTTGCGATTTATTGGAGAGAATCTGGAGCCATGGACTGCAGGTTAAACAGGTCAGTTGAACCACACCTTTAATATTGTTCACTGCTTTAAAATACCTTGTAGAATTGGGTGGCAACATTTCTATTTTAATTTTAGGGCAAGTCTGCTTTGTGGTCCCACCTGCTGCACTACCAGGAGAGCAAAGAGAAGAGCGCTACTCCAGGAGGTTTGGGGCCCTCAGGTTTTATCCACGACACAGAGAGGCGTAAATCTGACGGAGGAGTGTCAGCCATGCCCCCCCTTAAAATCTCTCTCATTCAGGACATGAGGTGAGTCCTGAAGTCTAAAAAAGACATTTAAATGATGCCGTCTGGGTTATCTCTGTGAGATTGCCCCCTTGTGGAAACTAAAGATAAAAAATAAATCAAAAATATAGTTGTTGATAAAATATATTCACATCAGTAAACTTGTTTTCCTGTACTTTAACACAGAAATGGGAGAATGGGGTGTGTAGGAAGAAAGAGGGGTGATGTCGTGTAACAGTGCATTATTTCCAGCCCAATTACTCGACCCCTGTCTCAATGCAAAGAGAGGTGGGGTCAGCAAGTTCAAACCCACTACTGTATTCTGATTGGCTGTCCCACCATTATCTGATGCTGTTTGTGAAATACATCTTCAGTATTTGTGAATAATACTAATATATTTTAGCTTTAACCATTACCTTTTGGGCACAGTTAGATCATCTGCCTCATATAATGTTATAAAATATATGTTAGTTTATATTTTGCTTTGTAATAGTAAGATGGGGTGGGGTTTTCCTCTGTTACCATGGAGACAGCAAGCAGAGCAAAGTAGGTTACCTAATGTGAAGGTGGAGGGGGGTTGAGGGGTAACGTGAAGAAATGTTCATGGAGCAGACAAAGCTCGTGACACTGGTGGAGTGGAAGGAGATGTGTCTGGACAGGCCAAGCATGATAGTGGCTTACAGCAATGACATTGGACTGACTCTAGAAATGCCACTACACCACAGAAATAAGCATGTTTGGTCAGACTAGTTTGTAAACTACACAAACATGCACAGGAACTGAGTAAAAATAATGAGAAAATAAATAGCATACAATACACTGGCATAGCAATTTACAACATTTAATATTTTCGACACTTGGTAAAAACCCAATGAATAAAAACTATTTGGACAAAAATTTTACTTGTTCTCTTTCCCTTTTAGGCACATTCAGAACATCAGTGAAATCAAGACGGATGTGGGAAAAGCCCGGGCCTGGGTTCGCCTCTCAATGGAGAAAAAGTTACTTTCCAGACACCTAAAACAACTGCTTTCAGATCATGAGCTCACTAAGTATGCACAATATTTGTTTACTCATTTTTTACCTCTACATTTTCCTCTGTTATGAAACGCATCACACACCATCTGTATCACTGAAATTGCAAAACATCTTGATGCATTTTACCTCTAAATAAATAATTGATCATCTTTTTCATAATTAATTCATCTGTGGAAGTAGGTCAGTGGTCTGCTGTCTGGCTCTGTGACCTAACATCTTTTTCCCTTTTACCATCACAGTGCTATATTAAATATATTAAATAAAACTGTATTTGATAATAAACTATTTTTGTTTTTTTGATGTGCAGAAAATTATACAAACGTTATGCCTTCCTGCGTTGTGACGATGAGAAAGAGCAGTTTCTTTATCACCTTCTCTCCTTCAATGCAGTGGACTACTTCTGTTTCACCAATGTCTTTACTACAATCAGTAAGGGTCACCATAAAGTCAAAACAATTAAGTGTTATACAGTTGGATTTTTGGGTGATTTACCTGCCGTGTCTTACCTCACAGTGATCCCATACCATGTTGTCGTCATCTCCAGTAAGAAGTTAAGTGGGTCCATGTTCACAGCTAACCCCTGGGTGTGTGTCTCTGGGGAACTGGCTGAGACTGGTGTTTTGCAGGTCCCTAGGAATACTTTGGAAATAACTTTTGAGGTTAGCCGTGGTGACAATGTTTGCTCATCAGTGCTTACATTACACCTAACCAATTTTAAGATGTGTAATATTTTATGCTGGTTAAATTTAATTGTCAGTTATTTTTGTTTTTAGTGTCAGAATCTGGGAAAACTGACCACAGTGCAAATGGGTCACGATAACTCAGGGCTCTACGCTAAATGGCTTGTGGAGTGTGTTTTGGTCCGCAATGAAATCACAGGACATACATACAAGTAAGTATATTTTGTACAGTAGTAGTAAAGCACTGTTTACTGTAACACTTGCTGACCTAAAACATGTTGTTTTGGCAGATTTCCTTGCGGTCGGTGGTTGGGCAAAGGCGTGGATGATGGGAGTCTAGAAAGGATTCTTGTTGGAGAGCTTATGACCCCAAGCACTGAAAACGATGAAAGATTGTGCCGCACTCCTCCAATGCAACAGTCGCCTGGCATGATGAGAAGGTTTGTCACCATCTCGCCAAACAGTAAACCAAGTGAGTCACCTATTTTTCATAACTTACTTAGCTGAATTATTAGATTTTCACTTATGCCAAAAATAATTCTGCATATTTCAATCTATTCACCTGTTTTATTTGCATCAAGTTGCATTCAAGTCATGTTGATAATGGACATGGGCACAAGTCACTACATGCATTATCTAATCTTTTTGTCTTTGTTCTTATCCAGAGCTAAATACAGGGCAGATCCAGGAGGGAGTTGGAGAAGCCATCAATGGGATTGTGAAGCATTTCCACAAGCCGGAAAAGGAGGTGAGAGACTGGCGTCTAGACAGGCTCCAACGTGTAGCTCCATTATTCATCACCTGCATAAATTCTTTGTGTGGTCTTGGTGGTCCTTTTATTGAAGAAGCATATAAATAATTTCCTAATGATTTAAACTTATATCTTATGGCATGATTGTTTTTATATTATTAACATATTTTTGAAATAAAATAATAGTTTTAATAAACACTTATATTCTCATCTCTCAATAGAGGGGCAGTTTAACTCTTCTACTGTGTGGAGAATATGGCCTTGTCTGGGCTCTGGAGCAAGTTTTCCAGCATGGATTCAAATCACCTCGTCTATTTAAAAATGTCTTTATCTGGGACTTTTTAGGTAAATATGTCCTGTTTTGTAGTATTGTGCTCTAAAATTGTATGTATCTCTGAATTAAATGTATGCCTATTTCTTTACCGACAGAAAAATCCCAAGTTTATTTTGAAAGTGCTGAACAGAGAGAGGTGAATCCAGATGAAAACTGGCAGAGCAGAGTGCGCCACTTTTGTCGTTTTATGCGTGCCATCAACAGCACTCCTAGAAATATTGGCAAAGATGGGAAGTTTCAAATGCTGGTCTGCCTTGGAGCCAGGTAGGCTTTTTTTCCATTCTGATTAATGATTACGATGTATGTGATATATGCTGTTTTTAGACAATGATGTAAAGTTGAAAAACATATTTCTAACTAGGTCTTACTATGGGTTGATGCTCAAGTGGCATTGTGAATAAAACATGCCATTCTGAATCTGATCTACATAGTCATCTGGAGGAAAGCCACAAAATTTGATATCCCCTGTGAGGATTCCCAAAGAATCTGATATTTTAATGGTTTCCTCCAGTGAAAGGACACAGCATCAGAGCATTGACGGAATATGGACTGGTCTTTTGATGAAACTCAGGGAGATATCAATTACACGCCATCAATTACTGTGTAGACATTAAAGTTAAATTTTAAATCTATATTTTCAAATAATTACATCCAGTGACCCAATCACACTGCACATCCCCACAGACATAGAGGTGATGTTGCTTGCCGTAAGACAGGGGAAGTTGTGATTGAAACCCCCTCCAGTGCATTAGTGATGGGCCATTCTTACCAATAGCCAGAGATGGTTCTGTTACTATTGATACAAATACAACTTTACATCGTCTTTTCTTTTTATTATCAAATGACGAGCACATCTCAGGAATAAAAAACTGTCCAAATAAATTAAAGATATACTTCTTTCTTTAGGGATCACTTGCTGCATCACTGGATAGCGTTGCTGGCAGACTGTCCGATCACCACTCAGATGTACGAGGATACTGCACTGATCAAAGACCGGACATTGGTGAACTCTCTGATCAGGGTGCTTCAGACTCTGCAGGAGTTTAATATTACCCTGGAGGCATCACTCGTCAAAGGTGTGGGTATCTAAACCAAACCAACTCCCCAACAGTCGCATCAGGAACATACAACTTGATACAAGGCATATATGAAACTTTTTATGCAGGATCAGACTTGAACAAAGGACATTTCTGGCTTATATTAAAGCTACTGTTACATTTGCCATATAATAAGTGCAATGAGCCTTTCAACATATGTTGATATTTTTATCCTGAATGATGTTGCCATTAGATGTTATAATATGTTTTCTATTATGACCATTTTCACATTACTGACAATGACCTTGTGCTATAATGTTGAAAGCTAAATATTTTCTTTGTTATTGTGAACTGCTGATAATGGTTCTATTTAAGGGAAAGTGAGAATCAAATGGTTTATATTTTTCAGATAAAACAGTATTATTTTGTTAAATCTGTCAAGTTGCTTGCTCTGTTGTAAACTCAGATTCCAATGTCATATTGCAGAGCATAAAGCAAGTGATGTAGTATGCTTTATAAGTATGTGTATGACGGGGCTTTGTGGTAAAATAGCATTCACCTACCTTTATAGGAATGACATTTATTTTACGGTTTGGGAAAATGCCAATATTTTATTATTTGCTGTGAATGAAGATCATGCATGAGTATGACATAGCAGACTTTTCTCCAACAGCAGACATTGTGTTTGGTTAAAAGGAAGCGAGGATCCCAATTAACTGGTCTGTCACCCCACCCAGGTTTTTATGGATCATATTGATAACCTTATTGTAAATATCTTTGGACATCTTTTGCCCTTATCACACAATGTTCCCTTACACTACATGTAAGCCTACCCAGCTCATACCTGGAAGAAAATGACATGCTTTTTGTGACCATGTTTTTCCTCACTGGTCTCATCATCATAGTTTCTTGCTATGCAAAATCTGTAAAACAAAATCAAAGTTATCACTATAACACCACAAAGAGTTACTACTGGGCCCTTTCTCTTATAATGGACTGTACAGAACAAGAAATAATGGTATGTGAAGGACTTCTTTCTGTGCCAACAATGTCTGAAATGACTGTGTTGTGCCCATCTGTGTACAGTCCATGAGCATCTTGGAAGATTTATATTTTTGTTTTCAAAAACTGTTGTACATTTATTGACATGTGTAATGTAGTGTTTACTAAGTGTACAGTGTAAAAATGTACTAAAATAAAGCATCTGAAATGCTAAAGGGACTACTTCTCTTTCATAATTGCAAGTACGAGACTGTATTTGCCCATGACCCATGCATGTTTAATATTTTCAGCTGCTAAAAATGTAAACAAACTCGTTCGCGCCATGTCACGTAGCTGTTTTTCTTTGTAGGCTTGGCGCAAATGAATTATGGGACATTGAGTTCAGAAAAGACCGATAGGTTGTACTTGCGGAAGGCCCGATCTCTCTGTCTGACTGCAATTCCCGGCATGCCACATTGACGAGAGGGATGTGTGGTAAACGCTGATTGGTGGAGGTGATGTTCAAACGCGACAGCTACAGTCCTTTTATGGTCATTTTAGCCCGACCCTTTCATTCGTCTTTTTTATGCAAATGTTATTCTAATGCACAGCTGTATGCAGCAGTAGTGTGAGCATGCGCACTGTGGGAAGCGAATACGGTGAAGATTCAAAGTTTTTGTCCAGTAAGTCTACTCTTATTTGCTTTTAACAAAAAATAAGCTTTTGATTTAACCTTCAAAATGTTTGAGTATGATGTTGAATATATTTTTGCGTTGTTATTGCAAGCTGACGACTTTGTGGTAGATGTTTTAGCGCAATATACAAAGAGAAGCCGACTCGACAATGGGATAACGTGGAAGTCAATGAGAGCGTGGCGTGGTTGCGTTAGCAGCTCTGGCTAAGCTAACATGCTAAAAGCTAACAACAATGAACCGTATTTGGCGCTCACCGAAGCAAAAGTTGGAATTTAAAGGGATAAGCAAGGTCTTTGTCACTTAACTGAAACATTTTACATGCATTTCCCGGGATGAACATTACGAAGTGTTTGCATATTTGATTAGTTACTACTAATGTTAAACAAAATTCAAGTCTGGCTCCATAGCTTTTTGTTTCTTGACTTCAAAAAGAGCTGCATCCCGCTTTTTGCTTCCACTTTCCAAATGCAATGTGTTTTCACCGCTAAATGCATTTTCTGCACGATAAATTCACTTAACGAGATGATTGACGTGTTAATGGTTATTTTCTTGACGTTTTACAATCCAAAAGTCAATTTTTATTCAGATGTGATCTCGTTGACAAGATCGGTTTGCACTAGATGCGACTGACCGTAAGATTTAGATGTGCGCGTTAAAATCACATCTACGACTGTCGGGAAATCGTAATGTGTACATTATGTTTGTATCTGGGTGGCAAATATAAGTGCGTGTTTGTGCGATATGGTTTATGTTATCACTTCTATTGTATGCATTATCATTAAAATATAAAGCAGACACTGTTTACGGCTTTTATTGGGTTTGAAAGACGACGAAATAGTGTCTTAGTGGATTTATATGTTAAGTTTAAATATTTTAAGAATGGACACGCTTGTGTCTGCGCGTGTTGGAACCGCCCCCTCTCAGTAGTAAACTGTGCACTGCGGTCCTCGGTCTTTGTATCACAAAGACTGCAACATTTTTATATATATATATTTTGCAGATTTGCTATTTTACACCAGCGTCAGACTATGTTTGGATTTCACAAGTCAAAGATATACCGGAGTAATGACGGCTGCTGCATCTGCAAGACCAAATCTTCCAGCTCCCGCTTTACAGACAGCAGTCGTTACGAAGAAACTTTCAGGCTCTGCTTTGGGTATGTTTTCTTAAATAAACAATGTTTGTTAAGGCATCTGTACATGTATTCATATGTTGTAACACAATTTTCTTTACATTCACGTGTTTAGGCTGTCAGAGGAGCGTGTTGGAGATATTTGCCTGTGTCTTACTGGTAAAAAGGTGGAAGAAATTACCCCATGGATCCAAGAAGAACTGGAACCATGTAAGTATGCTTCTGGGCAACATTAATTATCTGACTATATAAAATGAATTATGAAAAGTAAATGTTCTTGTGATTGTGCAGGTGGTTGATGCTCGGGCAGGGCCAGGTTTCAAAATGACAAAACCCAAGAAGATGAAGAACAGCGATGGAAAGAAAAAAAGCAAGTTAAAGAAGCTTCACAAGTTAAAACGACAAAGTATGACTACTCTCTTACCTCCTTGTTTCATTCACATGAATGCATATTAATTGTTATAATTTACATGTATTGTCCTTCCAGATTCTGATGCCCATAGCACTACCTCGAGTGTGTCTCCAGCTCAGTCCCCCACTTACAGCAACCAATCGGATGATGGTTCAGATATTGAATCCAAACAAAGGAGGTCATCTCCGTCCATCTACTCCTTTTTGGATCGGTCATACTGGAAGCGGTATGTTGGCACATATTGTAAATTCATAATGTATCATTTGATATTTATACCAAGCAAGTATCAAATCAAATCCTCTCTTCATAGGCAAAAGGTGTGCTGTGGGATAGTCTACAAAGGTCGCTTTGGTGAGGTCATCATTGATCCTCGTCTTTTCAAACCCTGTTGCAGTACCAAAAAGCAGAAGACGCTGGCATCCACACAGGTGGCCACACACCTCCCAGAGTCCCTTCCTCCACAACTACCGGAAGATATTAAAGACACCTGGTGATGGCTTTTGTTGTACACTTTATATGGTGATCCATGGCATTCACCTGGATTTGTCTCCAGTGGCAGACTTATCTTTTTACGTTAATAAATAGCATAGTTTACTCGGTTCATCATTTTTATTAGTTTGTATACTTTTTTACAAAAAGATGAAAAGAGAAAAAAAATGGGCATTAGTATTATTTATAGGAGGACTTATTTTGTTAAGATGCCTTTGTTTATTTTTCTAGAAAATGATCTACACATTGTAAATATAACATGTTTTTATACATATCAATACTGAAGAACAGTCACTAGTTTCCTCTAATACCATCTTTTTTATATTACCATGATTTTGTTGTAAATGTTTCACTTGTGACTCCGTAGATATTTTAGCACAAAAGGGCTAATCCTGACACCAGCAAAATGTCTAGTATGTTAGCTGTTAATGAACTTGTTAGCTTTTATTGTGTTGATAATGATAACTCAGTTTTTTCCATTTAAAGTGTAAAAAAACAGCCATTTTAATTTTTCAATTTATTGGTGAATTAATTAGAAAATTTGAACCCATGCATGCAGTACATTCCCCTGCCTTTTTTTTTTTTTTTTTTGTACAGCCGTCTGTCACATAGCAATGCACATTGTAAACACAATGTTTTGTAAATACAACATTTAAGCGTTTGGTACTTTGAAACATTTTTTTTTATCAGGAATTTCTACCACTACTTCTGTGTTTTTTTGACAGAAGATGCTGAAAACTCGATTTTCTTATACCAAACCGGTTTATCTGTTTTCCAACTTAGTTTCACACATTCCATTTAAAGCCATTTAGAATAGGGATACAGTTTTAAATAAATAAAAAAAATACAGGGATTATAGTTGCAGCTTTTAGCGACTTGTTAATATCTTTGATTACTTTGAAGATACAATTGTTCAAACTATGCAGACATTTTGAATGTTGGGAGGTCTCTGGGCTCTTTTTTCACTTCTGCTATTATAGGTTGAAGTGGATTTTCTTCTAAACCAAATTTTTACGGACAAAGCTTCACTTTCTTCAGCAATAATTCCCCTACATAAAACTCTGTCTTGTGTTTAAACTTTTAAACAATGCTAAAATTTTATAATTTTAGTCACAGTGCATAACCATCTCAATTCTTGCAGTCTCAAAACATCTGTAATTGACAAACACCTCACGTGAAGCTGCTGGTGTATACACGTTTGTGCGGCAGGGTAAAGTGCTTAAGCTTGTTATAATTCTTAAAATGATGCTGCTTCCCTTTATTCTGGAATAAGCTTTTTCTGTCCTTAGGGCGTTGCCATATTTTCAAAAGGCACATTTTGGATGAACAATGTGCCTTAGGAATTGCCCTAATTTTGGACTTTTGTAATTTATATTTATTTATGACTAGACCTTTTTTTTACTGAAATGATAAACTGGTGTTGAGCCTCTGAGAAGTCGTTTTTTTTATTTTTATTTTTGTGCACTTCTGTTGAATACGTAATGTGGATGTTTTTTTTAATGCTTTTGTATACTGTACCACAATGTAGATAATTACTGTAATAAAGTGTCCCCCCAAAATGTGGGTATTCTGTATGCAAGTATTGACAATAGAATACTGTAGTACAGTTTTAAGAATCACAAACTGCACATATCACACTAGCACTGATTCATGAGTTGTTGCAAGTGCTGAGGATAGACTTTAGATATCCTCAGCACATTAGATAGACTATTCAGACCAAAGATTTAAGCATTGAAATTAGCAACCCAAATGAGAGACCGAAGCTCATTCTGCCATCTGATTGGATAATCGTCTTGAGAACCAAAACACCCAAATTATAACATTGCCCACGTCCAATGTTTTTATAGACCTAATTAAGTATCGGTCAGCATTACAATTGTTACCAGTAAGAGCTATATGTGATTTGACCATGCCTGACTATCACGCACCTAGGGACACAGTTAAGTCCTGTTATGGAAATTTTAATCTTACATACGGTTCCTTTAACTTAATTGATCTCATTGAAGACATGTGATTTAAAGTTGTACCACTAGATAGCGCTCTGCAACTTTTTAAGTAATTCTAACTTCTACCACCAGATGGCCTACGTCAACTGTATGAGGAGACACTGCGCTCTCTGTTCAGGAGAGGTCGGAAATAATCAAATTGGTTGGGGACTGACTACAATGCGCTACCACCGGGCTGATTGGTTAATTTGTTTAAAATAATAATAATATAACATTTTTAATTTACTGAAAAAAAAATTAAATATAATGATACTTGGGCCTACCCTGGCCCCATAAATGTAATCCTAATTCTCACTGTGAGAATGTTACGTATAGCTTCTGTTTCGAATAAAAAACTCAACTAAAGAGGCTACTGTGATTGTTGTAAAGTTTGCACTTTGGGGTTGGACTAACTGTGTTGGTTTTCCATCCCCATACTTTACGAGATTACAGCCTAATGTGTGTTTGTTGTGTGTAACTCGTTACTTGTAATCTTGGCTACTTCCGGTTGTGAGTAGTATTTGAGTGACTTTACACCGCGCTGCTTCAAAGAGCTTTCTCTCGTACACGTGGACGCGCACGCACGCTCTCATTCTCGCTCTCCCTCTCAAACACACACACAAACAGACACACAGTTACTTGCTCCTTTCTCTTTTCTAAAGGCCCTTGTGAAGCAGATTGACAGGCTAGAATGAAAATGAGGCGGGCGCTCGGTCACGACTTCAGTGCGTACGCGTCCTTTTGAGAAGACCTCTAAACTTGGATCATATCACCATGGGAGCTATTTGGGCTGCAAGGGACTTTTGTTTGTTTTTGCTCTTGTTAAATAGTCGCCAAAGCGCAGCGCTTCCAGAGAATCGAGGTGGGACTGTAGTGAGTGAGTGTATTTTTCTTACCGAGGGGACAGCTACTTTACGCACGCTTAGCGGTGCGCTCTTGTTGTTTCCCTTTGGTGACGGTTTCTATTGAGTTACATTAATGTATTAAGGGAATTTTGAGCGTTTGGCGTTTTCATTTTTTACGTGCGCAGTGTTTTTGAACAGGATAACTTTTGTAGGAATTTGGTATTATAGGCTACACTATTTACTAAATCCCTCGTGGACTAGAGTATTTTACAAAAGTAACACTAAGACAGAAAAGTCCCTTTTCTTATTTACAAGCATATATATGGTTGTCTTGGTTTGCTATGTAACATGCAGTTTGTACTTGTGATCATAATTCATGTGCATTTCAGCAGATCCATGCGCAGAGGGAAGTGATGGCTGTCACATTGATGCTATTTGTCAGACAACTCAAGGCTCATACAAGTGCACGTGCAGGGCAGGTTTCAAAGGAGACGGAAAACATTGTGAAGGTAACGTTTGTCTTTAGGTCTGGGTTCACATCCACACTTTTGGCTTTTGTATTGGATTGTCTCGGAGACTGACTCACAAGACCATAACAACTATTTTGGTCTGAAATGTATTTCACTTTTGGAGAGCTTGTGGATTGATTATTGTTTCCTCTCAGACATAGATGAATGTGACTTAGAGCACAATGGTGGCTGTGTACATGAATGCAACAACATACCAGGCAATTACCGATGCACTTGTTATGATGGCTTCCATTTGGCACATGATGGTCACAACTGTCTGGGTAAGGCATTTTTATAACTTAGATTTCTCAGATGACCTTAAAAAGAGTTATTTTTATCTTTATGGTTGTTTTGTAGATGTGGATGAATGCAAGTTTAACAATGGTGGGTGCCAGCACACTTGTGTCAACACCATGGGCAGCTACGAATGCCGCTGTAAAGAGGGATTCTTCCTCAGTGACAACCAGCACACCTGCATCCACCGCTCTGTGGGTAAGTACTTAGTTCTGTCCTTCTGATGAAAATGTGGACATTTAGAAGTCTAAACAAAACTAAAGTTAATTTTCACTGACTAAACCAGGTCTAAAACCAAAACTAAACTTGAAAAAGACCAGGTGTTAACAAGGACCAACTTAATTCTGTATCAAGAATAAAATGGGTCAAAATTAGGACCAAGTAAATCCAAGGGTGAATGCACTCTCAAATACTAATAAGCTCAATAACACATCTTGTAACACAATTAAGCAAGAATAAGTAAAACTTACTTTGATACATTTGAGAAAATCCCATAATTTCTGCTTTATTTCTACAGTAGCCCTAAACCATTAATTCGGTTAATGTTTTTGGATGGTGAAAGGCGTGAGAACAATCACTGTCTTTTAGGATGCTAGACTAATCTCTCTGTATGAGCTCTTTGTGTGGAGCCGGTCACTCACTGTAGGAGTGCTGCATTGTGTACTTCTTTTTCCCTTTTTATTCCAGAGGGCCTCAACTGTATGAATAAGGAGCACGGCTGCGCCCACATCTGCAAAGAGACACCCAAGGGAGGCGTGGCCTGTGAGTGCCGTCCAGGGTTCGAGCTGGCTAAGAACCAAAGGGGCTGCATTTGTAAGCGCTGACCATAACAACATGTTTAATAACATTCTGTAAAAATCGATGTTGTGTTATTTATCCTACAGTAACATGTATCCATGGTAATGGAGGATGCCAGCACACTTGTGAAGACACAGAGCATGGGCCAATATGCAAGTGTCACCCCCGGTACTCTTTGCAAGCCGACAAACGATCCTGCCTAGGTAAGAAGTCATTAAAATAAATATGGACCTAACTGAATAATTCAACCTGGGACACTCTTATTGCAATCAAATCCAATATGTTTAAAAAAAAAAAGTCTACTTTTTTCATGTTTTGTACTTAGCTATTTTGAGTCTGAGATTAGCACTCCTCTGTTTATACTGCACGTCCCCCTTAAGCCTTGGTGCGTGTGAGGTCCAGTTGTGTATCTTCATGTGTTATCTGATGCTAAATGAATACATCCCACATGTATTTGAAAGCACTGATAACACGTACTGTTCTATGACTTTATCTTTGCTGTAGAACGAGATGAGGCCACCACGGAGTCTGCGGACAACAACACCACTTCCTTCACTGAAGTGGATAAACGGGTGAAACGAAGACTTCTTATGGGTAATGCTCACCGTTTAACACCACCAAATAAAATTGTATGTTATGGTTCAATCCTAATACCTGAGTTGGGAGCTACCAGGAGCCACCTGTACCAGACCAACACATTCCATAGCGGTTTGAGCAAACTGTGAAATGACTACTGCCTCACTCACTTGTCCCCCTCATTCTCGACTAAAATATGCATTTGTGACAGTGTGGTATATTTCACATTTTCCTTCTACTTGGGCAGGGCAGAGTGTGAACCTTTCCCTGCATCGTTAGTATTTATCAGTGATGTGATTCTGGGTCACTCTATGCATATAAAACTGCTTAGTGGCACAAGAACAAAACAAAATTTACAATCGATTAAAATTCGAACATTTAACCAATGGCATGTCACCAAACTAGCATACTTGGTTTAAATAGATAGATAAATACTTTATTGATCCCGAAGGAAATTCAATGTTCGGCAGCAGCAACATAGAAATAAACACAGCATAGCAAAATATATTTAAAGTTAGCAGTCCATCCTCTTGTATTCATGAGCTACAGGAATGCATTGTACAGACATTTGTGATGTAGGTCAGTGGAAGTCTTGAGAAATGATAACATTCAAGGGCAACACTTGCTAAATAATTGTGCAAGCCACTTGGGTAAGAAAAAGCCTGATTTGAGATGTGATTAAGATATTACTACTAGCTTATATATAAATTCATATTAGGGTCATATGCAGTAAGCAGACTATTCCTTGTCACTTCAGAGACTTGTGCTGTGAACAATGGGGGATGTGACTGCACCTGTAAAGACACGTCCACAGGTGTCCGCTGCAGTTGTCCTGTTGGATTCACCTTACAGCCGGATGGAAAAACATGCAAAGGTCAGGGAGGATGTCCCATTGTAGATCAGTATTTCTATTATTATTTGCCTTTTAGTAAATATACAGGTGAATATACAATAATCAAATATACTGGTCTCTTGTGTCTCTCACAGATATTGATGAGTGTGAAGTTAATAATGGCGGCTGCGATCACTTCTGTAGGAACACCATCGGTAGCTTTGAGTGCAACTGTCGGAAAGGCTTCAAACTTCTCACAGATGAACGCTCCTGCCAAGGTAAAGATGAAGAACTACCTGAATAATTTGCTTTTAGAAATCTGAATATGACTTAATTTAATCTTTTTTTTTTTATTATTTATAAGTATGGCAGCATGCATTAAAATGTTTATTCTATTTAGAGCTTTTTAAAACTAACAATCTTATACAAAAATAAGATAAGCTATTTTAAATAAAACAATTGCACAGTGATGATGGTAGCTTATACAAGATTATACTTCTTTTATAATAAAGGACCAAACCCATCAATTTGAACTGCTAGGGTGTTATAATAATCAACGCTATATTATGGTCTGTGAGGATGCTGAGCTCATAGGTGTTAGATTACATCATGCTTAGTGCGACTCAGCATCAGGTGCAAAAAGCCAGTGTGTGCATGGGAAATCCCTCATGATGAAGGTAGTGCCTAACTGCCCTGCTATTATGTCCGCCACTATTTTTGATTACAGATATAGATGAATGCTTCTTCGAGCGTACATGTGATCACACGTGTGTGAACTCCCCTGGTGGTTTTCAATGTCTATGCAACAAAGGCTACACCATGTATGGACTGGCCCACTGTGGAGGTGAGACCCTATTGGGTGGAGGCAGCCACACAAAACAAGTTGAGCGTAACATTCATACAGAAGTGTGATGCCACAGCATGTCATGATCGGACTTTATTAGAATTATGTTTTTTATTTTGTCTTTCAGATATAAACGAGTGCAGTGTGAACAACGGTGGTTGTGAGCATATATGTGAAAATGTCATGGGTGGATTTGAATGCTTTTGTCATCCTGGTTATAAACTGCACTGGAATAAAAAGGACTGCATTGGTAAGATGGTGCCTTAATCAAAGCTAACCTTAATACCTCTCTTTCATGTGTTTTATATGTAATTGAGAAAACAGGGAACAAAAACAGGAGATACTTTGAACTTTGCTGTCCTTTCTTCTTTTAATCTCTGGCATTTGTTTTGTGTTGATGAAACTAAATGTATCAGATGACTGGATCCTATGTCCTCCATATCCTATAAGTTTTTTTATTCACGTCGAAGTTATATTGTGGTTTCCATCTAGAGACTGAGAGTTTACCACCTGCCAAATCTTCCACTAAACCTACATTGAACTGTAGTAAACAGGAGGGAGGGGACCGCTGCTTCCTGACATGCCAGTCACAAGTTCACATCAGTAGTGGTGAGTGCTTTATTCCAAAGCTATTTGGATGTTGTTTATTGCCATGGCACCTGGGTACCATTGTTTTTCATATTATCATAATATTATTATTTCAAAGTGAATTAATCTCACAATACCTCAATGGAAACCACTGTATAGACCAGCTCATTAATCATTAAGCATTACTTTATTGTGTTAAAATTATGTTCTTTGAAAAGTGGTTAAACATTAGTCTATAGAGCAGTGCTTCGTGTCCCTACATGCTGCGTATTTGCTTTCACAAACTTGACTTTGTGGCTTTCACTTTGTATGTTTTAGGCACAGAGGATTCATACACAGTGACCTGTGGAGCGCCTCTGCCCTGCCCGGCTGATGCTCAAAGGGACAACAATGGCCTGTACTGCTTAGGCAAGTACCCAGATTCACCTCAACGCTCTTCCATACAAAAATAACTCTTTGGTTTTATGTAGGGTGAAGCATCACAGAGTAGTTGTTATTTTCACGGAATAAAATACATGCAGCATTAACTATGTGCCCGGATAAACCATTTTATCTGATGTTTAAAAATTCTTGTTCATTGCAGGTCAAGAAATATCTAGTGTTTCACGTATACGGACCACAGCCACCTTCAGGTCTGGCACCTCGAAGTGTAACTTAAAACGAAGCCAGGAAAAACTCAAAGAGGGGTTAAACTCTGCACATTCAGGTACAAAAGTTACGACCCCACAACCTCCCATTGCTTAGCATCATACACCATTATTCATGCATGTAGTACTTTTCAGAGGGGGTGGGTTAGCAAAGAGAAAGCAAAATCCAAATGCAAACAATAAAGCAGACCTGAAAGGCTTCAAAGAAACCCAAAAACCATAAGCAAACGTGAAAGAAATTAGTGGGAAAGTGGTGCGGTTTGAAATGTCTTGAATGTCTCAGTGTAGCATTTTGTCTGGGGGTGACAGGGGAGGATGTAATCAGCCCAAGCATGGCTCTGAGTTGTGTCTGACCAAGCCATCAATCATATGGAGTACAAAAAAACAATAGAGGTAAAAAGTGATGTCTTTTGTAAAGCTATGAAAATGTAAAATGAAATAGTTTAGAATATTCTATCATTGTATCCATTTTTATTTAATTTATTGTCCCATCTCTTATTGTCTGTATTGATCAGTTGTCTCCTGTTTCCACAGACAGTCGGTTCCTCTTCACTGAAAATGTTCAGTTCAGTTTTGTGAGCCTCCGCTGCACGTCGTCTGGGCAACGCCCCCGCAGTCGCCATGGAAGAAAGACCAGCGAGGAGGACGGCTCTTCCATCACAGCCGAGTTTGTGCTGGATGTGAACCCAGAGGAGGTAACAGGTTGGTCTCTGCACCTCCCCTCTGCCCACTGCCTGCATCCCTTTTCCTGCTTCACCTGATCTCTGTGGCTCCTGTCTTCACCACTCATATTGAATTAAATCATTAAAGTATCTCCTGTTTAGGTTGAGGTGATGCATTGGTGCTGGGTTGAACTTTTTTTTACATTGGGTGCTGGGCTTGATATCACCAACAGCATGTGCACATCAATGTACAATGTACTCAATGTTCTGTAAACATTTAGTTGGAGACATTTGTGGTACGGAGTGCTTTTTTCAGCAGAGACTTGTGACCTGAACTGTGTGCGCCGACGGTCAGAGAAGAAACTCAAAAAGACCATACGGACATTGAGAAAATCCATAAACCGCGAGCAGTTCCACCTCCACTTTGCTGGATCCGACTATGAGCTAGGAAGGAGCCTGGTCCAGCCTGCAGAGCTCCCGGGGCACTGCGTTGCTGGTCAGGTGCTTGTGAACAGGAAATGTGGTAAGTTTGCATTCAATTTACTACTGCAACACTCAACAAGTCATCAGCCACACACCAATAGCTGCTTCTGACACACACTTGATTCTTAGTGGAGATTTAAGTAATTGAACTTGTACATGCCAGCGAGAGATATTCAGACAAGTGGTTTTAATGATTGGATTTACTGCAGGTGTTGGCCAGATGAGTGCCATATTTGGTTTGCAGACATGGTGTAATGAGCCAGCCACAGTGAGTAGAACAGAACGTCTGTTGTTGTACCACAGAGCTGTGAGATGGCCCAGCATCTCTCCGGGATATGGGTGTAATATGAGGGCTATTGGCAGTGTTTCTGTCTCGATCATTGGGTTTTTATACACAACCCACACCAGCTTAAATGTTAGTTTGTGGGACCGCACACTATCTGAGCGGGAGGCTGCCCTGTGTTTTCTCTGGCTGGTGTTAAAGTGCCCCTACCACTGGGCCTCTCAGTGAGTTTCTGCCTACTTATACCACTTAATATCACTCAGAGAAATGTGTTTTTTTCTTTTCTGCTAATATAGTATATACACGTTTATTCAGATGGTGTGCTTTCTGCGCCCTCCTCGTATTTTTGTCAGGATTCTTAATGCATTTCAGTGGATTAACAGTAGCTCACAAAAATAAACATTTATAGTTTGAGGCGATATAGTTTGCATTCAAAGTTGTTCCTGGCTTCCCTCGTTTGGCCTCCTCATTAAACCTAACTATTTTTTTTTCTTCAATCACTTACTATAGCAGGACTTAAGTTGTCTTGATTTCTTAACTCCCCTGCTATGCTTTCAGGTCAACATTAAGCAGTCTATTGGTCATGGCAGGGGTGTAGACATGTAATTTGGGAGAGGAGGGGAAGCTGAAAAGCATTCTTAACCTCCAGCTCTTTAAAGGGGGCTATATTTTTCCCTCCTCCCCCAGTTCTTGCTATGGCTTAGCTCTGAGCACAGTTTAGTCCTTTTCAATTTGCCCAGTCCATTGAAAAACCCGATGTGGGACTTGTTCTCAGTGCCAGAGATGGAGTGTAATCCATCTGAGCCAGTGTTGTCAAAATAAGAAATAGGTTTATGCATAAATAATCCTTTTTGATCTTTTTTTTTGATAGTTTCTGGAATTAAATTTGAAAACCATCTTTTTCCTGGTTGACTTTATGTGTCTTTTGCGGTCTTGTATTGGCCCTTACATTTACTGTTTTATTTTGTTTGCTGTTTTTACAACCAAAGTGCTCTTAGAAACTGGACACCACATGGACATCAGGTTGTCAATGGTCCGCAGCAAACACGTTCAAGTCCATTTAACTCTTGTTCCTAACCTGTTTCTGTGTTTGTTTTAACATTGAAGATGTTTAGGAAGTGCTGTTGATTCACGCTGGCAGTTTGAGTACTGTGTCCCCCCCTGCCCCCAGCTGGGACTGCTTTGCATGACCCCTGGCCACTAAACTGCTAAAGAGAATTGACTTCAGCCACACCATGGGAATCAATTAGCATCAGCTGTTTGGGCCTCGGCTTGATGGGCGCAAGCAGTGATTGGGCCGAGCAGAATGGGGGATTGAGAAATCTGACCCCTTTTATTGGGTTCAGCTCCTAACCACTGTGATACCGTAGTGTTTTCCTATGTCATCAAGCAGGCAAAGACTGGGGATTTGAATAGAGGTGAAAGGTCTTTTAAACCTCTTTGGGGCCATCAATTCGAGGACTCTAAAGAGCAGTTTTTTGCATTTGAAAGGTTTCCAGGTTTTCTTTCACTTTCTCTTCTCTCACTGCTTCCCTCTGTCAAATAAAAGCTGTTAGGGGACAATGCAATGATGGCTCTTCATGGGCTTTCAGGGTAAACAAAGGGATCCCAAAAATGAACTGCTCCAGAGAGAATTACATTTTCTTACTCTTAAAGAAAATCTAACAACTTGCTGAGTGATGTATAATGGATGTGGTTTAGAACTTTTTGTTCAGAGCTTGAGGACAGCTTGAATAACAATAATGCCTTAAAGGGTACAGCTGAGCAATAGCCCAATGCTAAGCTCAAATTTTATTGATTTGCTCTGCTCTGAGATCAGGTTCAATTTTAAGTCAAGTCCCTAACTTCCAAAACACCCAGACAGACTCAGTAATGCCTAAAATATAATTACAGAGCAAAGAGGTGCTTAGGCTTCTATAATCAGATGGTGTGCTCTATTGGATGAGAGGGAAAACTTTGCTTTGCTTTGATTTTGGCATAGTGTTTTGAAAAAGGTGTGTGTGCCTGAGACTTAAAGGTTGGGTCCTCCTGGTTCTGTTTGAAGTGTTCACAAAAGACAGCTGCCCTTCTTTTTATCTCACAACTTAAAGTTATCATATTATATTTCATATTATATGGGGAATAATTTATTTAGAGCAAGGTCACACGGAATCATATTTGAAGGTTATTGCTGTTTCAGTTAATGTTTATATCAGGTGTGGACGTTGGCTAGCTCTGGTTAGGACCAGTTGAACATGTCTGGCCTGGTTTTTCTCATGGTACATTTCAAGGAAGATGAAGGACTGTACTATTTTTGGTTCAGTTGTTTAGTTCATGTAGATTGGTTAAGTTTCAGTTCCTAGGGATTCTTAAGGATTAGTTTTTACCAGTTAAAGATCTATATTTTACAGTGCCTCTTTTAAGAGTATAAAACATTAACATTGCTTTTCAGTAAATGTAAATGTTCATGTAAAACTATACCAAATGTGTATTTTTAATTTTCACAGTAAAAATGATTGGCAGTTGGTAGTTCTAAGTAGCTTTGAAGTTTTAATGATCAGTGCCTTTTTACTGAATTATCCGTTTCAAGTGTGTGGTGTGATTGCATTTGAGAGGCGGCTGGTGAAGTCTGGCTTCCTTCACTTTAATGGCCCTGTCATGTTTATAGTGTAAATCTACATTGTGGTTCGGACTGTTTGATTATACAGAGCTGCATTTTATGACTCATGTCTATGGCTCATGTTTTTGTAGTCATTTCCTTACTGACACTCATCTGTCTGCATAGTGGCAAATTAAAACCACTTTCAGTACTTATAAATTCAATATTTACTCGATGAATGTGATATTATTAATTATAAAAGTAACATCACCTCACCACAACTATAATAGCAGCAGTTTCCATAAAACACTATAAATCTGGTTTCACACCTGTAATATTAAAATTAATAACTATATGTTGTCTGTCTTTCGTCATCTTCATTCATTAGTGAGCTGCAGTGTTGGGACGTACTATGATCTGAACCTGGGGAGGTGCATGCTTTGCCCAGCGGGGACCTATCAGGACGAAGAGGGACAGATGTCTTGTGACGTTTGCCCTGCTCCAGATGGAAGAGAAATCTCCAAAGTTGTGGGTGCTCGAAACCTTTCAGAATGTGGAGGTAAGACACCAAGGTTCAGTTGCTTAAATGTATATAGTATCTTATTTGTCTTATTTAACAATAAAATGGGAACTACATCAAATATAACTGAATAAAATTGAAAGGGGCGCTATGTTTTAGTCTTTCCAGTTGGTGTTATCTCAGTTACTTTTTGAAAGTTCAGATCTTATCGGCCTCTTAGACTAAACAATAAAGGCTATCTGCAGACTCAAGTCATACAGGAGCTACAGGATGTCAGATAAAACATGACGCTTTCCATTCAATTTTCTTTAACTTGTGCATCCTGCGTTGTTATCATAGTGGGAAAACATACTTTGTGTTACAATAAAGAAGACTTCAAATATGTAAATCCCAGTTGTTAAGATATGATGCTGATAGAAATCTAAACAGTGTTTTCCGCGGTATTTGTTTGGTGAGTGATTCATGCGTTCATGTTTAGGTCAGTGTCCTCCGGGCCAGTACTCTCTGGATGGCTTTATTCCCTGCCTGCCGTGTCCGCTGGGCACATACCAACCCGACGTGGGCCGCACCACCTGTTTCCCCTGTGGCGGAAACCTGGTCACCAAACACACTGGAGCTGTCACCTTCCAAGAGTGTGAAACCAAAGGTGAAGCATCAGTGTTTTAGCTTTTTGCTGACATTATACTCACACTTTACAAATGACTGCCACATTAAGTAAATACAATGAGCCATCTGTTGTTACTGGCTAGTTTTCATCTGAAAGAACAAAATCATGCTTTTTTAGTTTGTGGACCCCTACAAACATTTCTATTGTCCTTGGAACTCTGCTGCCCCCTAGAGTTAATGGATTAATTGTACAACAATGTCATAAACTCAGTGGTCCATTTTTCTGTTGTATGAGGTGAGGACAGATTGGGGTACATTTCAAGCACAGGTCAAGAAAAATGGTTTCACCAGAAAGAGCATGTTGTATTAAATCCAAATTGAAGGATGTCGATACTTCAACAAAAACTTCAATTAAAACTGTTTTGTTCTGTATAGTCCAGTGCTCTCCGGGCCATTACTACAACACAAGCACACACCGCTGCATTCGCTGTCCCATGGGAACTTACCAAGGGGAGTTTGGACAGAACTACTGCGTTGCCTGCCCTGGAAATACAACCACTGACTTTGATGGCTCAACAAACATCATGCAATGCAAAAGTATGCTTGCACAGTGCACAATAAATCACTCAACCATTTCTTACAGCACTGAAAGCACAAAATAATGAAAATTATTTATTTTTCAGATCGACAATGTGGTGGAGAATTAGGAGATTTTACTGGTTATATTGAGTCCTATCCTGGAAACTACCCTGCAAACATTGAATGTACTTGGATCATCAACCCTCCTCCCAAACGGAGAATCCTTATTGTGGTGCCAGAAATCTATTTACCCATTGAAGATGAGTGTGGAGACTACCTGGTCATGAGGAAAAGCTGTAAGTGTTAGGTCTTATTTAATGAGGTGTAAAAACACAATAGCAGTGAATTTTGACCAATACTTTACTCCACAGCCCTTTCCAACTCGGTGACCACCTACGAAACCTGTCAGACGTATGAGCGGCCGATAGCATTTACCTCTCGCTCCAAAAGACTTTGGATACAGTTTAAATCCAATGAAGGCAATAGTGGGAAGGGCTTTCAGGTTCCATATGTGACGTATGATGGTAAGAAGGGGCTTTATAAAACATCAGTAAAAGTGATAAGGATGCATTATTTACAATTATTATTGTTTGTTTTTATTTATAGAGGACTATCAAGAATTGATAGAAGATATCGTCAGAGATGGAAGGCTCTATGCCTCTGAAAATCACCAGGAAATACTCAAAGTACGATTTTACGCACACAACATTTCATAAATGTCTTTTAGATGGCTAGAAATTACAAATAATTAGGTCACTGCAGCAACTGTGGTAATAAAAATGACGATGCACATGAGGTTACAAACCTGTTGTAATGATGCCATCTTCTGGGCAAAAGTGGAATGACTTTAAAGTGAACCATGTTTTCCCCCTACAGGACAAGAAACTAATGAGGGCTCTATTTGATGTGCTGGCTCATCCACAAAACTTTTTCAACTACACGGCACAAGAATCAAGAGAAATGTTCCCAAAATCCTTCATCCGCTTCCTGCGCTCTAAAGTCCTGAGATTCCTTCGTCCATAGGGAGCACTGCTGAGCAGTTATTTTTCTCCAGTGACCAGTTACTAATTCCTCTGTAGACGTGACCAAAACAGGATTGGACTGCACACTTGTTAAACTGGTCATTAAAAACAGAAGCTTTAAGAGGAAGACAATGGACAGTGGAAAAGTGAGATTGAATGCTCTTCTTCACTGTTGTGTTTCAAACTATTGGAGTGCTGCTGTGTCTCACCTACTTTGCCATTTATACATGTCTCATGAGTTAGATATTATGAGCTTTCAGCAATGGAAGCAAAATCATTGTAGCTAATAAGATGCTAATTTCAAAGATACTGTATATAGGGTGTATTTAGTTTTAACATAAGTTTAAAGGCTCATTGTAAGGTAAATGAAATACATCACTATTAAGGGAATTATTACAGCACAAAAATATTTTTTGGAAACATCAGCCATTTAAAGGGGTGGGGGGGTACCTCAGAAGCAATTACTTTGATAAACTATTTGTACATGATGTAAAAATAATAAATAAATAGCCAAGAGAGAATTAAGTTTCATAGTGCAAAATATTACTGCACATAGCCCTTTGACTGAGAAAAATAGGCAAAGTAAACATGGTATTCAAAAAGAATAAAGATATTCTAGTATTGTGACTGCAACCAAAGACAACCTCTCCATACACTTCAGAGTTGTATCTTCTTAGTTAATGTGTATATTTTTATTGTTTTGTACATCGGTTACACTGTAAATAAACATAGAAAACTTTAGAAACCAATTTCGATACACTATGCCTGCTTGTATTTTTATTAAGAAAAATATGAACCATTGTGTTAGCTAATTTACATTGCACATTTAAACTAGACCTACTACTCCAAGAACTCTACAGTGAAGTGCAAATTGTTAAAGTTGTTGCTAATTTAGCACTCACATAGAACCGAAGAAATTTTTTTTTACTTTCCGCTCTCTTGGGGCGGGTCAATCAGACCCAAAAATGTATTTTCTCGCCTGGCGAGAATTTCTTTGAAAATACATTATACATATATACATTATACATAATACGGGTCAATGTGACCCCGAGGAGAGCATGAGGGTTTTAACAATGCAACTTTTCTGGTGGAGTGTATGATTCTTGTCTACATTGATGTTTTTGCTTTGTCTGGAATGTTCCACAGTAGCATTAAACTTGAAGTATATCTCCAGAGACAGGCATGAAACGCCACTAAGCCAAGTTACTGGTCAATCTACGGAAAGGAGATCCTTCTCACAGTAAAGATGCATGTTTTCCAAGGTAGTTTAGACCAATAAAAACACATGTAATTGTACTTGCTCGATAGGCATAGATACGTTTAATGACATATTGTGGAACCTCCAGGCAAAGCAAAATCTCCTTGGAGACAAGCTAAAAAGGTATATAGTCCGCATTTAAGATATGATTTTATTAGATCCACTGGACCATTACAGAACCATGCTTAACTCAAGTCCACCACACCGGAAATGAAGCTGCATCTCACCGGAAGCTGGCAGTCAGCTGCTAGGAAGCTGCGATGTGTTGTGATTAGGCTAGTTTAATGGCCATCGCCGACTGTAATTAAGGTGTTGTTACGATCAGTTTGCTACATTTGTTACGTTTGTTACTGACTAAACATCACTGGCGAATACGACCGTGTAAAATGAAGCCCTTAATCTTCCCTGTGGCTTGCGTTCTGGTTTGTTTTGCCCTTCTTGCTCCAGTGACAGCGAAGGTAAGGCTAATGGAAGCTAACTGTGTGGTGCGCGATACGAAACAATTGGACATTTTAGATCAAACTCTAACCATAATATGTAGACCATCAATTTATCCCCAAAATTATTTAAGGCTTTATGACGGGGCCAGTACTTGTCGAAGGATTACTTTATCTGTATAAACGATATTACTAACATTGGTAATTTTGTTTATTTTGTAAATAAATAAGCTTTTAAAGTGTGGTGCCCTGCTCTATCTGCTGTTAATTCCACATTTAAGATTTACTGTCGACTACCAGCCACCTAATGTTAATTGTTAAATAGCTATTGGCCTATAACTAATTTAACTATTATCTTTGAAGAACTCAGAAGATATTCGCTGTAAATGCATCTGTCCACCATACAAAGACATAGAGGGACAAATCTACAAACAAAATGTTTCTCTTAAAGACTGGTATGTACAAAAAGTATCAAGCGCAGATGGTGAATATGGCTTGTTTTTATTGACTGATTTTGTCTTTTTTTCTTCAGTAATTGCCTCCATGTAGTTGAACCCATGCCTGTTGATGGCAAAGATGTGGAGGCCTATTGTCTTCGGTGTGAGTGTAAATATGAAGAAAGGAGCTCTGGAACTATAAAGGTTAATCCACATTATTAAGACTAAGGAAAAGTTTAATCCACATTATTATGGCTATGGAAAAATACAGATCCACAACAATCTGCAGGACACAAGGTCAAAATGTTATCAAAATAACAAATCCTATAATTATAAATTAAATGATGTAATTTACTGTTGTTGTTACATTGCAATACACAGTTACGCTACTTTTATATTCTGTCAATCTTCCAAACAATAATTTTGACAAACTAAATCATATTGTGTTTTCTTGTTTTCCTTTAGTTTACTATTATTATGTACCTGTCTATATTGGGCTTTCTGCTTCTCTACATGGTATACCTGACTCTTTTGGAGCCCATGTTGAAGAGAAGGCTTTTTGGACATTCTCAGCTTATTCAGAGTGAAGATGATGTTGGGGTAGGTGTCAAATTCTACAACTTATTTACTATAATAATAATATAATAATTTTTTTTTTTTTTCAATGGTTACATTACACAGTTAATGTCAGAATTTTAATCATATTAATGAGTGAGAGTTAAAAGAACTCTGTGTTTTCAGGGTAATTACAATAAACTTGTATACACTGTCCATTATTTCAATGGGATGTTGAGCTTTTTTACTAGTCAAGTATGCATTCATGAAAATACTGTGTGTTTATTTCCAGGACCAGCAGCCTTTTGCCAATGCACAATGTTTTGTCCCGCTCACACTCAAGGCCAAACATGTTGAACAAAGTGGAGCATGCTCAGCAGCGCTGGAGGAGGCAGGTTCAGGAGCAGAGGAAATCTGTGTTTGACCGCCACGTTGTCCTGAGTTAAAGTTATGAGTTAAAACTATGAAAAACACTGTGACAGAGCCCTCCATTCATATCTGTACCGTTTGTGACTCCAGAGGTGAAGGAAAATATAAGTGCAGGGGTCAACAGTGGTGCTGAGCAAATGTAATATGTAACGGGTTTACAGAATTCTTAAGCATTTTCCCTGTTTTACTGTTGCACATTAAAATTGAGCAGGTTTTGATTTCATTTGCAAAAGCAGAGGATAATTTCTTCTTTCCAATGTACAAGTGTGCCAATCTAACTTGAAACTTCAGTCTAAATCTCAATTTAAAAGTCTCAATCTAATGTTACATGATCACTATTTGCAGTTTGAGGTCAGGCTTTGTTGAAATCATAACACAAATGCTGTCAAATAAATGACCTGAGTGTGAAATGTCCACATGTTGATTAGTGCCAAACAACATGACTGGATAAATGGACCAATCCACCAACTGCTGCAGTGGGCAGTTTGTTGGGAATTTAAAGTAGAGGAATGATGGAACTATAACAAGAGGATGTTTTAATAACTCATATGAATGGTTCACCACCTCATCTCTTTTCCTCTAGCATTTTCTTATTAAGTATTTCCCTGTAAGTCTGCATTGTATGTCCTGTCTTGGTACATTTTGGTGAACTGCCATGTTTTTATGGTTACTGTGGTTAAGTAATATAACTCTAAAAGTCTAGAAAAGTGTTTAAAAATGGAAGCCTGTGTTTACTGATAACTTATACTTTACAATTTGTAAAACAGTAGTAACCCTGCAACGATTTGGTGTGATTTATACTAAATGGTTTGCTGTCTCCTTGATCCTAGAATAACATTATTTGAGAAGACTTTGCATTTCTTAGTCATTTTCTTGATGAACACTGTACTGAACTGGAAGGATTGTGCTGACAGTGTTGAGATATATTATTTTGTGTTTAATTAGCTTTCAAAGACTCTGTTAATTGTCTAAATGACAACAGTGGCATGACATTGTAAATTCATTGAAGAACTATAACTACAGCTGTTGGAATCAGAATCATGACTGTGTTGTTATCTATTGTTGTATAGCTTTTGATTTCAATATTAAACATGTAAATTGTTGTTTGAATTCCTTACTCATTTCTTTACTCTGTAATGTCATATACTGTCTCTCTCCCTCACTTGTTATTTTAGCATCAAAGGAACTCCAGATAATTTTCCTTAAACAAAAACATATGGGAGCCTTCGGAAAATGGCCAGTAACCGAAGTTTTACAGTCAATCTTGAGAAAATAGTGGTAAATGTTATTCTTTACCAAGATGTATTTTGATACATTTTTATAAAAAGTGAAATGAAGCTGCGTCATCATTTCCTGTGCAGACCACATTTTTTATTTTTTTTCCCTGAGCAGCATCAAGTTTGACGGGGAGTTTTTCTCGCAGAAGTGAACGGAATTTGGGCTGTTCGGACACGAAGAGACGGAACTTTTCTCTAGCATGGATAACTGACGATCGATTTGCACAATAGACAAAATAAGGTACGTAGGTTATTTAAGATCCAACATATTTGAAGTTTATTCGCATTTTGTGTTTTTTTAGGGATGCTTCAAGGACTTCCATCTGTGTTACTATCTGGCATCCACAGAAACACTGTAGTCCAGCAGTTGTGCTAGATTTCCTGATACCTTTGTTAGGCCTATATAAATTAACATTATTACGTCTTAAAGACAGTTACTTTTTTTTTGAGGAAAGCAAATTTTCATTGTCTCATGCCAGAAATGCTGTCCATCTCGCTCTTAGGCGTTGATGTGTATTTGTGGTCTCTTACTGACAGGGGGCGCCCCAGCATTTGGGTAATATTGAAAAAAAAAAAAAAAAAAAAAAATCTAACCCACATTCCTATTGATATTAAGTGAACTTTATTTTTTATTTCTTTTTTTGTTTTTAATTTGTGTTATCCTCTGACTCTTGTATGTGTGTATGCTGAGTTTAAGCCTAAATTATAATAGACGTACAGTAAACAAAACTCTATTAAATAGGCTACCAGTTGAAACTGCATGAAAACAATCTGCGACTACATGGGCTCGAAAGTGGAGAATGGTAACAGGGTTTACGTTTAAAAAGGAAATAAAACCGGTTTGGAGACTTAAGGCAGGGGACTTAATACAGGTGGCTTGCTCTCATATTTCATCATAGACAGAGGCCATCATGGAAAAGACAAAGGCAAGCTGGGATATATATATATTTTTTTACATAGATCCATCTATACTAACTCATGTTTTGTATTTCAGTAACATTTTAGGGTGTGTCCAACACATTGTGTCTTTTGATTGTGTTGCATCTTAAAGTATTATCAGCAGTGTTGACGAGACATGTCAAACTCAGATAATCTTGAGTTTAGGAGCTGCCTAGGGTCTGTTTCCAGAATCCTCCCCCCATCTTCTCCACATTATCTCTATATTCCTTCAGTGTCTTTACCTCACATATCTTTATTATCTAATATATTTCCTTTTACCTCCTTATCTTGATGAGGCTTGAACACATTTTCTAGTGTAGGTGGCAGAAGCCTCACAGACTTGTGGGTAATCCCAGTAATGTTTGGGCCTGTTAAAGTACTCATATAAAGTGATCTGGCTGCTTTAAAAGATTTTAAGATTTGGAACAAAGCCTTGTGTAAACATACACAGGGGTTAGTGATTTTAACTGAATTCTTGAACAGATGTACGAGCAGGTGCTTTAAGAATGAAAAATGACAGTCAAATATCATTGTGTGCTTTCTACTTTGTCCTGTGAAAATCTTTCAAGCTTCATTGGTCATTATTTGTGTGTACATGTTCTACCATTTAAAGATTTTTCCCTCAATGTGGTGTGTAATTGCTTCTAATCTAAAGATTTTATAAATCTTATAGTAAGCCTATTATGGCACCACTATGGTTCTTACCTTAGATTACAAGTCCTTTCCATTTTTGATGTTTTGAAGTTAAAAGTTCAATGAACTAAGGGTACACAAACCTATAGTCTATTTAATGGGCACAACCCACACTGAATATTTTGTTTTAGATTCTTTTAAATGTTTTGCATATAGTCTGTCAGTCTGCTCGACAATATTCATTAAATCAAAATTGCATATTAAAATAAGCACCATAGTAGAGGTCTATCATCCCCAGGTGCTGGTCTAGGTTTATCTTGTTGTGTTACAGTAGATTTTTAAATGAATGTGTCTATTGCAGTGCATTACATGTGCAGAAAAGAAGTAGTTACCCTTTGAACACTGTTGTCCAAAGGATGTGGCTTCTCCATATCTAACTGTGCTCAGTGGAACAATGAATTCCTCAAGTTAAAATTTGGGTTACAGTTTGGTTGCACATCCCACCAGAAGAATCCACTGTTTTTGTCTTAGACCACTCTTCTCAGACTGTGCGGTGGGGTTCATTGTGTTTTCAGGAAGGACTGTCTTTATGGGACCTTGAACATTTTTGTGTCTCCTTCTGAGAATAGCTGCTTAGTGGCAGGACTGGAGGCTTCCTGCTGACTCCATGTAATGGACTGTGGTGACGGATGCTGGACTTTTGTGACTTCCTCTGTTCCCAAGTCTGTGGGACAAGACACCTCCTGAGACTGGACCTGTGTCCAGGAGTAGTCCCCTGCAGTGTTGTTTTATGCACTGTTTTATAAAATAAGATGTAGGCCTATATGTGTTGCACAAATATTAAGAAAATATTAACAACATAATACTAATAATAGTATTTTTTTATGCTGACTGTTAAATATGTGAAGTGTGTATGTTGTGTGCCAGTTTTTTTGTATTTTTTTATTGGTCTTCATTATTTATACCGATGTTTATTATTAATATTTGAAATTGAGATTTTGGATAAGAAAAATATGTATGAATTGAACTATAGCTTTAAAACTAGACCAATTTTCTTCATCCATTTCAAGTTGCTTCTATGCAGCATTAGTCAAGGTGACAGTTGGTGTTTAATTTTTATGAATATTTACATAGTTGTGGTTGTTGCAGTTTAGAATCACTCCTAGAAAATTGTTTTGGCGGTAGAACAAACATGCATTGGGACAAGACACTGGGACACATTTTCAAACAGGGTGATGTCTTAGATAAATGTTTAGTAGCTTTAAATACTTCTCAAACCTAAATTAAATGGTCTGATATTTTGTTTTATCTTTGAGTCACATTAACGCAGAGGTAATCTAAGCCTCACCTGCATTTTATCACCTACTGTAGCCTACCTTAAACCAAAATAGGATAAGAATATTAATAATCGAATGAACAATGATTCGAGTGAATGGCATCTTTGTACTCGTGCAATGTCCTCCCAGTGACCAGTGGGCCTTTGGGTAATTATGCATAATAATGTGTTGCACTGCTGGCAGGACACATCCATGCCGTCAGCAGCCGCTATAGCCCAAAATTACACTTCTGAATATTCATCGAAACTCCTCGCTCCACCGTGACACAATAAACAAGGAGAGCGGGTGAATGAATGCCTCGGCTGTGCACAGGGCATGGGGCCAAATCCGAAGAAGAAAAGTGGGGGGCAAACAATCGCGTTCCCGTGGAGACAAGTCCAGCCTCCAACTCTCTCCAGCGGTCTGTGAGAGCGAGAGGCAGACTTTTTTTTTCTTTTTTTTTCTTTTGACGGTTTTGCTTGGAAAGACATGAGACGGGAGTTTATGGACAAGGACGCGTAACGAACATCACGTAGTTTTACGTTTTGACGCACGGATATTTTTGTGTTTAAAAGGAATATACTCTCAAAATGAAGACAAACATGGATGTGAAGAGAAAGGTAAAATCCTCCTAGCCTACTTTTAATGAAAATAACTAAAGTTTCACACGGCGCATGGATGAAGTGGGCTAAAAGGGTTAGAACGGTCATGCATCCATTTACAGCGACACTGAGCATCGTTTAAATCTTTATTTCTAATGTTACTACCATATTTGGTCAGTGACATGTGAAACTAGAAACATCTGGAGAAATGCCGAACTACTTTTTCAGCTGATCCTTAAAAAATGCGGCGGAAGGAAGCAGGCTCATGTTCTTTGGCCCATTGTGGGACGAATTAAGTCCAAAATCAATTCGCATCCAAAAATCCAGACTGCACAATAACAAACAAAACCTGGAGGAATCATTGGACTCGGTGTCCTTTGGCAGTAGTGAGATTTTGTTGTCTTGGGATCTTGAAACGTGGGATCAGAAGTGTGCTGTCTCATCTGTCTTTCATTATGTTGATACAAGTTTATTAGACTTACAGCAGTAGCAGCAATTCACTTTTCATGTTGCTCTCAATGGGTGCCAATTTAACCGTGTAATTTATGCTATAGACTAATTACTTAAACTCCACAAAAGTTAAGTGCCAGAAGCCATGTCATATATTACATTTTTGTCAGTTTTAGGTCGGCTATATAGATACTTGGAAACTGAAACGTGCCCAAGCATATAGCGGTTTGACATATTTTTTTAGGAGTTCTATTGTTCACAAGAAACAATGTCTTTTGCTTGTCTTTGGACTGGACTGTCAACAAAAACCTATTGAGGAAGCTATCTTTTGTCCCAAGTCCATACCACAGCAGTGAGCCTGGTCAGTGTGCCATTGGAAGGTCTTAAGTAACTTTAAAACTGTTCAACTGGGAGACTTGCATGTTTACTTTAGCTACACATCAATCAGGAGACAAAATACTTTAAGATGACAAGGAATATGTATCAGATCAATATAGCTTTTAATTTGGATTTATTTAAAAACATGCACTGTTGTCTTATTGCTAGCCTGTTCCAAATGTAAAAATGATCAAAATTTTAAGTGTGTTCACAATTGGGACTAACCATGGACTAAACCAGGACTAAAACACTTAAGAAATCATACAGGAATTTCTATGGAACATTATTTGATCAGAGAGTGTTGTCATTTTTAAAGATTTGATTGATGACAGGAGATTTCATTTGATGGTGACCATAAAGCATCTGTGAACAAGACTTGAACTGGAGGTCATCTTAGTGACACAATTCACTGCAGACCAGTTTGACCAAAGCCTGTTTTCCACATGCCTGACTCTGCAGCTGTCCAAGTCCACATCTAGGTTACACCAAAGGATTTCCACTTTCCACA